ATATAGCGATAAAGGTTGGTATTGTGGGGAGGGGAATTGTACAAAACTAAAACAGAAATAAAGTATATACACAAGCACCCTAACGGGGGTGAACTTTTTTGAATCAAAATCCATGGGGGGCATAGATTATGGCCTCGTGTATCCCGATAAGAGAGGGAAGGCCGGAACCGTTTAAGATGTAACAACATGCATATATCTACGTCATATTGTAGGTAGAGCAACACATTTGATCCAAAATAATCAGATGTACGCTTACAGGTACATCAGAAGTAAAACATATATCCATGTAACTTATTAAGACTAAATCTGTTAAGGTTTGAAGATTTTTTGTTAAAATATATTAACTTATGGAGCAGCAGTAGTCTCGGCTATCAGGCCGATTGCAGATTCCCCTAGAGGGTGGTCAAGCATAAGCTGCATGTAAGGCTGCTCACCTAAATTAAGCATCCAAAACATCGGATCAAACTTACATGACTAACATAGAAATCAGTGCAATACTTAGTATGCGTGCGGAATCAGGCTGGAGTTTACTCCCTTCTGCGGTCTGGGGTGCGCTGCCATTCTGGTCTCAGCTTTCCAGGAGAGACCCTGGTTGGTGATGTGGAGACAGTCGATAGATTCCACTGCTGGAGTAGTTCAGAGCCTTCTTCCGACAAATTTATCGTGTGGAGTGTCCCGTTCCTTGTCACCAGTAGGCGGGTAGGGAGTCCTCAGCGGTAAGCCACCCGGTGCTCTCTCAGCATTTCAGTGATCTTTTGGTAGGTTCTCCTGGTCAGGAGAGTAGCGGCGGAGAGGTCAGCATATATTTTAATTTGGGAATATTCCGGCAGAAGGTCCCGTTTTGTGTAGCTAGTCTTCATGAGAAGTTATTTCGCATGAAAGTAACGTGTCCTGAAGAGGATGTCCATGGGGACCATGTCAGGCAAGTGTTGGGGTCTCTGGAGTATATCGACCCTGTCCAGCAACCAGAGATCAGCTGGAAGCCCGTGATGTACCTGTACAGGTCTGGTTGTTTGACGGATTTGGGTATGCCATGCAGGCGGACGTTGTTCTGTCTGGACCTATCTTCCATGTCGGCTAGCTTCATTTCATAGGAGTCTAAGCACTGTTCCATGAGCTGCATGTTATCTGCAGTGGCATTATGGGCTTCGGCATATTCACTGAACTTCTCCTCCATGTGTGAGATCCTGGTCCCCAAGTCATGTAGGTCTTTACGTAAAGCGTCTATCCCAGACTGCCAAGAGGCAATAAGTTTAGTGGACAACGTCCAATATGTCCAATGCATATTGCAGGAAAGCTTTATTGATAGACTCCGTAGGTACAGTGGAGTCCAGCTCCAGTGGTGCACCTTCTTTAAGTAGGTCACCGGCGCCATCTTGGATCTCAGCTGCGGCATGTGTGTTTGCTGAAAAAACAGCAGTTTGTCTGCTTTGTCTTGTTGTCGCTTTGTTTTGCTCTGTGACATGGTAGATGCCGGTGTGTTGGGATCGCGATTAGCCGGTAGATATATTGGAATCCGTGGTGCTGAGCTCTCAGTCAGGCATCCGACCCGCACGGCTTCCGGTCATGCTCCCCCTATAAGCCTGATTTTTAATTGGGAGTTGAATAATTTTGATTGCAACTGTATATATGCACACACATGCATCACGCATGCACAAATACAGATTTATTTATGCTAATCATTCTTATCTATATTCCTTCTAGAATGAGCAGTGCATTAAAAAAAAATTATTTTTATTGTTCTGCACATATAAACATCTCACCTCCATCTTCGTCCTCTTCTGGACAACAGAAACAGCAAGATGCTTTCTGCAAATGGAATTAATTCATTATGAATGATTTTTCAGTAACCAACAAGAGACATCAAATATGCATTTGGCCTATATTTGAAGAATTATTGGTGAAGAACCCCATAACTGTGCTCACAACCAAATTTTGCCTTAGTATTTAAGCTGACAAAAAACATAACAAGATAATGTTAGAAGAGAGCTGAATACAGGCTAATTTGTAAAAGCAAATTCTGCAAATAAACTCAGTATAATAATAATATTTAGTCAATGACCGAATGTATGCAAAAATAAAATTTACCCCACTGAATTGTCTAAATTGGAGCCTAATCGCTCAGGAAAAAATCCTAAACTATTCCTGAAATAAATGTATCACTAAATAGGCTTACTAGACAAAAAGAAAAATATATTTAAAAAAAAGGGTCAGATTCTTCTAAAATGATGAATGCTTGAGGATAGCTTCCTCTCTCATTGCTCAATCCACATGTAGTGGAAGGAAAATTGACACAAGTTGCACCTTTAGTCTTCCTTGCACAATATGCAGCAGATTTGAAATGGCCAGTTACAAAAATCACGCAGAAACCCAGGACCCAAAATTAAAGAGACATCCCAAACACCATAACTACTACAACTTATAGCAGTGGTTGTGGTTTTAGCAAATCGTTTTCACTGGACTTGTAAAAAACAAGTATTCCTGGTTCTCTCTTCTCTGACAGGGGAGCAATTACAATGTGTCTTTATCTTTATTCATCCAAAATGTTTGGACAGGCAAGCAATTGTCATTAACCATTTTGGTGTTGTTCAGCTGATACTGGCTCCCAAAGTTTATTTGTTCAGGAGTTCAAGTGGGTGAGCCTCAAGGGGTACTGGACTAAAATCTTTTAAATCTACCCCTAACTTCTGGGGCAATTCCTCTAAAATGCAAGTGTTGATAAACAGGTGTGTTGTTACAATTCTCATAGCAATCTTCCTTATAGTTTTTAGCCCTGAGTTTAGAATAAAGCACATTTCTGTGGTTAACATTTCTCTGTGGTGTCCTTTTTTGACACAATGATTAGTATATTGTGAATTTCCAAGAATCTCTCAAATAATAGATATTAAGGCAAACCTGTTATGGCAAGTTTACCTAAAGAGATAACAGCTCCTAAAGCAACACATATCTAATTTATGCCTGTTTTCTGCTTGAACATCAAGGGGGTGTAACCGGGTTAAAGGATCACTATAGTGTCAGGAAAACAAATTGTTTTCCCTGACACTATAGTACCCTGAGGGTGCCCCCACCCTCAGGGTCCCCCTTCAGTTACTCACCTTCTTCCACCGCCGGGCTCCCTTACCTCTCCTCCCCCGCCGATGTCAGCGGAGCGGAATGTGCATGCGCAGCAGTCAATGCTTTTTCAATGCTTTCCTATGGATGCTCTACGTGATGGAGGCATAATATGCCTCCAGCGTCGCAGATGCGCCTCTAGTGGCTGTCCGGAAGACAGCCACTAGAGGCTGGCTTAACCCCAAATGTACACATAGCAGTTTCTATGAAACTGCTATGTTTACAGCAGGCAGACCACTCATTAAGCTGAAGTGGTCTGAGTGACTATAGTGTCCCTTTAACTTATAAAAGTGTCAATTTCTATTGAAATCTGCACTTTTTGCAAAATGAAAAAAGAGAACGCACTCGTCACACACAAAGATTTTCAGTAACCTAAAGATGTGTAGGGATGTGGAGTGACCTAAAGTTATACCCACCTAAAAAATGTCACTCTCCCAAAGCACTTAGCTTTCTTAAATGGTGGGCTTCTGTGGCTTATTTTATAAAAGTGCTGATCTCAAGAAGTGAGGCAGATTGGGTTGCATTGAGGAGACTGTCTCAGCAATGGAAAAGGGATGAGTCTATTATTTTTCCTTAAACAAGGGGGCCCTAAATCTAAAACAAAAAAGGAACATATCAAGATTCAGTATATTTTTAACATTGGAGTGTTCCTTTAAGATTGTGTGTGGAACATTTTAAAGTAGATAAAATAAAGCAGTCATGCAGCATATTTTGACAGAATAAAATGTGACAGTCTTCTGACCTGGAACTCATAGGTGTACACTTTAATCATCCACATTGGGCCAAACATCTCTGCAAGATAGGATGCTTCATTACTGCAAAAAAATAAAAATAATAATAATGTTTAGCAATTAACATTAAACCGGTAAGACAGCATCTTTTGTCTTTACGTACACTTGGCATGCCAAATAAGACCTGGTGTCACAGTATAAATGTTATCTATGCATTGTGCATGGGTAATGTACATTTATTTTAAAAATTCTATTTTATTCTGCAGTTTTGTTGCTCCCATGTATTAAAGACTTAGTTAAATGGAGAGGTTTTATCTTAATAGAAGGAGCCCCACCTCAGACAAATACACATCGCCTTTGTTGTAATTATTTTATAGTGCCATCACATTCTGCAGCGCTGTACAATAGGAAATAAGACAACATTTAATTTGCACAAAACATATATGACATATGAGAAAAGTAGGTGAAGTGGACCTTGCCCAAACAACCTCCAATCTAAAGGATGTGGCAAAGTGGGATAAATAAGGCCTGTATTTCTTCTGGCAAAGACTTCTGTCATTGCTACTGTTAAGAATCATGGTGCTGTGTGTGGCAGGGAGAACAATGATAGCATGTTATATATCACTGCACAGAGAAGACTTCTATTATGCCCCCATGGTCATGTAACACCACCAGCCCAGGCATTTAAGAGGGAGAGACTGGATGAGATGAAAGCTGTGAGGAGCTATGAGGTGTCACAATTACAGGACGCCACTGTGAGTGAAAATAAAGATACACTTAGAGAGCCACAGTGGTGGGAAAATAATAAGAAAAAAAAGTTTTAAGAGAGACATTGAGATGATGAGGGGAGACTCTCAAGAGATGAAGAAGGACTGGGGGTGAGATGGCACATGTGAAGAAATAGACATTAGGCAGATAGAGACAGGTACAAAGTGAGCAGAGAAATACTGGGAGAGGGAGATAGAGACAGATACAAAGTGAGCAGAGAAACACTGGGAGAGTGAGATAGAGACAGAAATAAAGTGAGCAGAGAAACACTGGGAGAGGGAGATAGAGAAAGGTACAAAGTGAGCAGAGAAACACTGGGAGAGGGAGATAGAGACAGAAATAAAGTGAGCAGAGAAACACTGGGAGAGGGAGATAGAGACAGATACAAAGTGAGCAGAGAAACACTGGGAGAGGGAGATAGAGACAGAAATAAAGTGAGCAGAGAAACACTGGGAGAGGGAGATAGAGAAAGGTACAAAGTGAGCAGAGAAACACTGGGAGAGGGAGATAGAGACAGAAATAAAGTGAGCAGAGAAACACTGGGAGAGGGAGATAGAGAAAGGTACAAAGTGAGCAGAGAAACACTGGGAGAGGGAGATAGAGACAGAAATAAAGTGAGCAGAGAAACACTGGGAGAGGGAGATAGAGACAGAAATAAAGTGAGCAGAGAAACACTGGGAGAGGGAGATAGAGACAGAAATAAAGTGAGCAGAGAAACACTGGGAGAGGGACATAGAGAAAGGTACAAAGTGAGCAGAGAAACACTGGGAGAGGGAGATAGAGACAGAAATAAAGTGAGCAGAGAAACACTGGGAGAGGGAGATAGAGAAAGGTACAAAGTGAGCAGAGAAACACTGGGAGAAGGAGAAACTAGGGAGATAGAGACAGATACGGAGCTGGAGTAGGAGAGACATTGGGGGAAGGATGGAGAGAGACACTAAGAAGGATATAGGAAGAGACATGTCTGGTGGGATTGAAGAGATGTTTATGCGAATCAATTATATTGGACAGGAAATGGACAGAGATGGAGAATCCTAAACAATAATTTGCAAGGCACCCACAATGATAACTAAGGCAGCAAGCGCCATAATGGAATAATTAGGCTACTCGAGACTGCATGTTGGAGTGAGATATGAGGAACCTGACATCCTGAAGGTATATTTATTTTATTTTGTGAGTGTTGTGGCCGGTTAATAAATTAATAAATATATCCTGATTTGGGAATGAGTGTGTCAGGAAGGGGGAAAGGAAAGTGACAGTTTGTAAGTTTGTTTGAACGGGGCCTTCCTCACCTCTTGTCTCTGTTAATTTTTTAATATCAATAACTTGATGTCAAATATCCCCAATTTATAAAGCCCTGCTGAATATGTTGGTACTATATAAATGCACGTAATAACAATAATAATACAATTTTATATTGTAAGCTCGTTTAGGCAGGACATACTCTTCTTATATGTCAAATGTGTTTTGTTAGAATTAATTGTCTTGGGTTATCTAATGTACAGCCCTGTGGCATATGCTGGCGCTATATAAATCATTGTACGTGTAATTGTAGAGGGATTTAGTACAGCACAAAGGACTAAGAGGAGGAACAAAAACACTTAGAGGAGGAACAAAAATGCACAGGCTGAGACACAACCCCATTCTCTGGAAATTAAATAGCAAGGACAAAATAATATGATAGGAAATTAAAGAAAACACGTAAGGCAAAAGATTGGACAAAAAACAAAAAACAAAGAGGAAGGTGGAAGCCTTATTGTACATTTGTACACGGCCCTGAATATTCCAATGGGAGCTCTTTTCCTAGAACATTTAGCAAAGAAGTAATTTGAACTGATTTGAAATCTTTAGTATAGGAGGCAGTGGAGGCGTAGCACAGACTGTCCTGCAGTCCCAGCTGTGAAAGCATGATCACTAAATCACACCTATGTCCTGTGTAATACTGGAAAGTGTTTTTCCCCCTCTCCATTGTCTTCTCTGTTTTATGTGGCAACAAGCAGAGCTGTTTATGGCTAACCCCTGCCCCCTTGTTAACTAGAAGCAGTAAATAGCGTGGATGCACAACAATGCAACTTAGATACAAATATTTACAGCGCGTTAGACCGAGCACATGTCCATAAGTAGAGCTGTGATGGAGAATAGATATAGAAGGGGCAGCTGCTGTTGGCCGTGGTAGCCTGAACTTCTAATATCATGGGCTTAATTAGGACAAATACTTTGCATGCTCTGAGAACCAGCAATTCCACAGGCTTTTCGTGTTACTCCGATGGTGACCTTATCATCGTTTCCACTCCAGCTTCACGTACGTTTAATAAACCCTGATTTATAGCAGTTCACAAGGACTGCTACTGTAAGATAACCAAATATTTACCATAATTATCTTTATTTATAGTATATGCCACACGTCCGCCCCTCCATTCCATATTGTTAAGACTGTCATCAGTATGTTGAAAAATAACACATAGCTGAATATTTAATTTCTGAAAACTGGCATATTCTCCATAATTTTTTTTAAAAAGGCCTAAGCTCCATAATAAGGCTAAAAACATACAAATAACTAAGGTTAGTATATAGTATAGTATATAGTTAGTATTAGAAATGAGCCCCCTATATGACTATCAAAATAGGTGGTTCGCTTTGGGATCCATTTACCTAATATTATTATTATTTTATTTTTTATAAAGTGCCAGCAAATTCTGTAGCGCTGTACAATGGGTGGACTAACATACCCATAATTGTATCTGGACAAGTTGGACTCACAGGAACAGAGGGGTTGAGGGCCCTGCTCAGTGAGCTTACATGCTAGAGGGAGTGGGGTAATAACCAAAAATTAGGAGAAATTAGCATGAGAGATCTGACATACTCCCACCCCAGAAGCCTGGATACACAACCAGCAATTTTTTATATATTTTTTAAACTTACCTTTATTGGTTCACACGGAAATGTATGTTAAAACTTGAATTTTGGGTCATACCCATTTCTTTGACTGCCACATATTAAAAACCAATAAATAAAAGGATGTTGTAAACAGTGTTATCCCGTGTATAATATTTTACGCTGAATGTCTACCTACCATGCGAACAAGACACATGCGTACATGATGGCTGCACCAATGATGGCAATAGAGGCGTCTTCTGTTTGCAGCCCATCTCTACTAATACTCGGATAACAAACTGTGAGATTTTCCCCTTTGTACTGTACTGATCAAAACACAAATACAAAGGTGTAATAATCACTCAAATGGACAGAGAAGAGAGAAAAGACGTAGAACAGCGGGAATAGAAAGTACGATGGAGAGCAAACAATGAATAGAAGACATTATTTATCACTATTATTCCTACAACTTCAAAGACTGGACAAAACAAAGTTAGAAAAAGCCACTTGTCACGTAAAACAATGGCATTGTTCTCTCGCAACGTGTCTATCATTACTGTTTGATTCATTGGAGAGACTTCGATAGAAATAACAGCAAAAAAAAAACTTCACGGTGAACAAAATCTACTTCATAAAAGGCCCAAATAATGATGACACAGAAAGATTGTGGTGGATTTGATCAAACGGTGGGATTGAAAAAGCCGGCATTGCTGTGATCCCACATGCAAGGGTTGAAATGAGGACACAACAAAGGAATGACAAGGGCTGACAGGTTGCATTCTCCGGAACATATTTTGTTTTTCCTTGCAAACAGGTTTTCACTGACCTCTTTCTGGGGGCCGGCTCGACAGAGCTGAAAAGGTGAGGTAGGTAACGTAGCAGCTGATAATGGATGCCTGGAGCAGTCCAGATCGGGGCTGTTCTAGGGAACAAAAACATGACACTTTTAAAATAGAGAAAATATTGGAAAGGAGAGTTAATGCAACCCAGTGGCTACCTAACATACTAGCAATTCGTGCGATTAATACAATAAGAAATAACATCAGTGCCTTACTTTTTTTTTAAATTACTTGTTTCTGATGAAGTTGGGAGTTGCAGTGGAAGCCAACTTATTAACCCTTGTGGAATCATTACGCTTTAAGAAATATTAACTGCACCCTTGTAAAAAAAACAATGCACTATATTAATATTTGGATTATTTGATGGGTAGCAGAAGCTTTTTTTCAGTAAATCCCTTTCTTTTTAAATTGATCTACTTATCAATTTTTATAGAATCTACTGGGGAAAAAATGTATATATTAGATCAATTTTTAAAAACAAAAGGATTTACTGAAAAATAGCTTCTGCCACCCAGAACCATTGTGGGTGCATCTATCTGCCCATCAAATAATCCACATGGTAATATAGTGCACTCTTTTTTACAAGGGTGCAGTAATTCAACACTAAAGTATGCGTATATCTGTGTGCAATACAAAATAATATACACAGACGTTAAAATGCATGTCGGCCTCTATTTAATATTTTTAGAAAAGCTTTTTTTTATTTCTGTATATATGAAAATGCCAAATTTTTGGTAAAATAAACAGAATGATTAAAAATGATTTTATAAGAGACTGTATGATATTTGCCATGATGAAATTCTTCAATTGTATGTATGTACCATTTCCTTTTCACTTTACAAATAAAACATTTGTTCTCTTTCAAGTATCATTTACTGGTAATAAATGTAACAAACTCAGATTTAGTACAAAAGGATTTTATGACACGTAGGATTTTATACAGCAATAAATACATTAATCAGTAAAATCAGCCTGTGTTGTATGCTAACAATGTTTATTTTGGCTTTATATCTTATTGAATAAAACAAGACAACTCCTATCTGTGGGAATACACTTGATACAGAGTCACTAAACTTTATTGGAGCCTAGGGTGAAATGGGGATATAACATCAGTCAGATTGAAAGTCAAGTTGTCATACAGTACACAGTCATATAATCATGAACAATTTGCTGTAATTCTGTGAATCAATGGCTGATGCTACAATGTGCTACTTTCTATAATAAAGGCCCTGGCAGATGTGCATACACAAAGTACAAAGGGCTTTACGTTATAGCCAAAAAAGGGCAATAAAACAGTTATTATGATTAAGTATCTGGGTTTCTGCTCTACTTTTGCCAAAGCTTCTAATCTGATTCAATTCATCTCTGCGTAATGTATTAATCATTTTCCAAAACATGGAGTTAAAAAAGGGGGTATTACTTACAAAGCCACATATATATATAGGGGATTTTCTTTCAACTCCCCCAAATTCACACAGGAATAATTTTATCATACTTTCCTGTGCTCAGAAGGGACGGTATATTCAGATGGGTTTCATTTATTAATAAGAGTTCAGGGAACCCCAAATAGTATATTGACATAAAATCCAGACGACAAAGTAAAGTCCCTATATGAATATAATGTAATTAAAACTAAATTTATTTACATATGTTTAAAAAGGAACAGTAATTGAACCAAAAAGACAAAAAAAAAAAAACACTAAAAAAAGGAAACTTATAAACACAAAATAAAGGGGAGCTCGTAAGCTCTAAGTAAGAAATGGGGTAGAAGGGGTTAAGGAGCAATGGAGGCTGCTTGTTAAAGGAATGATAAGATAGAGACAATTATGAATCCTAATCGCGTGTAGGTTACAAGGTAGTTGTGGTGAGTACAGAATATACACACAGAGAGTTTGAACAATATACAATGTAGCAATTAAATCATATAACCTTAGGAGAGCAGAGGGATAATGCCTATGAGATAATGTCTTTCAGAGACATTATCCCTCTGCTATCCTTAGGTTTTATGATCGATTGTGTCCTGATGATTAAAGGTCGATGCTGAACGTCGATAAATCTTTACAAACTTGACATTGAGGGAATGTTACAACAAGACTTACTGAGCTGAACACAAGGTGTGATCGAAATGAAGGACATGACTATACACAATCCAATGTTAATGCTTATCAGGCCTTTGTTCAGCAGACAGCCAGCCGGATGAGTAAAGTATGTATACAAGAAATAGAAAGCCAAAGACGCCATGGAATAAAATAGCAATGTGGCCATCAGAACGGCAATGTACCAGCGTTTGTCTTTAGATGCCCCTGTCAGCCTAGGAAACAGAGGAGAGGGTTTTTAAAAAAAATTATTATAGACATATTATAGACATACTGTAACTTTGTTTATTGCAGACACAAGCACTTCATGTCTTTGTGGCCTTGAAATACAGGCTTCTGTTTGCAAAGCAATAAATCCTCGCTTGTTAAAGTGAAATGTATGAACGTGGTATGTGTTAACGCATATAGTTGTGGCAGTGTATATAGATAATGTGTAGCATGCACCAACCAAACTAAATATTTCAGTACTCATTGTACAATTCTTCCAGTACTGACTCGAATCTAAAAAGTCTATTTCTATTATATGCCATTTTATCTCTCTGAAGATGTTGTCCATGGTTCTGTTCCAACGTGATATTGCTGTCAATGTTAAAACAGAATTTCTTTGCAAAAGAAACCTGTTCATTCTGCAAAGTTCAGCTTAACGTTTTATTTGAACTGTTGTTTCTATTAAAAGTGCATAGGTTAAAATAAAGTCTAGTGATATTTAATATAAATGCCTCCACAGTACTCAAAAATGTAAATTAACAAATGATATGTTTTAAAACATGATGGTGAGGCATGTATGTGTGAGAAAGGGCTACAGGGTGAATAATGCACCATTTTGTTCGGTCTGTAAGTGCTATTGATATGAAACAACTGACTAATTGCAAAAGGTGATGATCACCTCAAAGATCCAATTAGTCTTGGAGCGCTAAGACAGTTGACAGCTTCTCTTTCCCTCTTGATTTGCTAGTATTTCTATTATACGTATTTGCTACATATTTGCCAAATTCCTCTTTTAGTAGTGAGGAACCCTATACCTTACTTGATTAAGGTACACAACAGATTAAAGGTATCTTTATTTTTAATCAGCGTATTCCTTTAAGTAATCAGTTTAGAAGGTCAGTACATTCAGTAAACTCATTATTTTAATTCCAGGAAACCACTCACCAATTCTTGTTCCAAGTGTGAGCAAAAGCAGTTATAAGAATCAGTTGAATGAGGACGAAAGAGAATCCACCACACATCCCAACATAGTGCCAAACTGTTAGAACAAAAAAAAGCAATAAATTAGAAATGCATTTACTCTAAAATAATTCAAACACACACATTGATCACAACAAAGCACTAGTATTATGCTGGTTACCCAAGTTACAGATAGAAGGTTTGAAATAGGTTGGCAAAGGCGACGGAAGTCCCTCTATTATCAGGCCAACACAATCAAGTCACTCAAAGTTACTTGTGAATTATAGGGTTTTGTTTTTTTAAAGATGTGCATGTCTTTGGATGCTGACAGAATAAAATATTAAAAAATAAATCATGTAATAATTGGCTTTTACTGATAATCTGGGACAATTCAGGTTCATGGAGTGGCAAAAATCTGAGCAAAATTACCAAACACTTGGATGGATTGCTAATGCATGTGAATGTACTGAATGTATCATCTCTGGACACTAACAAAATTTGCAACCGAGTGCTTGGAGTCCAGAAAGAAATAAGGAAATAGTCACTTGAATGATAGAAACACTCCGCTGTACAATGGAAAACCTGATATTCTGAATTTGCTGGTGGTCAGATGCACTTTAAAGGGACTCTCCAGTGCCAGGAAAAGTGCCCCTCTCCCTCCCAGCCCCCATCCCATGTTGCTGAAGGGGTTAAAACTCCTTCAGTGACTTACTTGAATCCAGCGCCGATGTCCCTGGTGAGGCTCCGCCCATGCTCTTCCCTCGCCGACATCAGCCAGCAGGGGACAACTAATGCGCATGCATGGCAATGGCCACGCATGCGCATTAGACCTCCCCATAGGAAAGCATTATTCAATGCTTTCCTATGGGTAATCTGGCGACACTGGAGGTCCTCATGCATAGCGTGAGGACGTCCAGCTTCGTTTAAAACACTTTTTGTGTTCTAAGAACATGGAAGTCCCTCTAGTGACAGCCACTAGAGGAGGACTTAACCCTGCAAGGTAGTTATTGCAGTTTATAAAAACTGCACTAATTACACTTGCAGGGTTAAGGGTGGTGGGAGTTGGCACCCAGAACACTCCAATGGGCAGAAGTGGTCTGGGTGCCTGGAGTGTCCCTTTAAGTGAACTAAAACTCAGAAAAAACTATATATAGTACTATATGTATATATATATACTTGAGAAGTCCTTCTTGGGCACAGACACTTGAAAAAATCATGTTTTTACAACTATCCCAGAGTTCCCAGCTTGACATGCAAATGAGCACAGATAGGCATGGTGACTCATGCAGCAACTATACCAATGGACAATCTTTTAAACACAGTTTTTTGTTTTAATCAAAGCATGGTTTATAATCCAAAATAATATGTGACCAGAAAGCAGCCATGGACTGCATTTTCAACCTTGGGATCTCATTAACATGGCACCCGTTCTAGCCTGAAAGTTAAAGTCTCCCTTTGAGATCATATAGCTCAGTGTCAAAACGATTGTGGAGTGGCCAAACACCATAAAACTCACACCACACAGAGCAAATAGTACATTTCTGAATCACAAATCCAGTGGAAATCTGCTGATTTTACCACATTTTGCCAGCAAAGAAGTTTTTTTAGGCCTCAGTTGAATATTTTTGGATAAAGTTTTAAAATAATTGAATATTTTGAAAAATGTTGTAATTTTTTTGATATTTTTTAATTTATGATAGATTTTTTAAATATTTTAATATTTTTTAAAAAAAAAGAAATAAATACATACATTTTTAAAGTTTATCCACAAATATTACATCATTTGAAAAGCTTATACAAAAATATTAAATCAGGGCCTTACTCGGTACACCTAAAAATGTATTCGCTGTAAAACAATTAAAATACAGGTAGGCAAAGACATTTTAGATGAATGAGGACTGCAAATCCCATAACCCTGAGCCAGCTGGAAGATGCTTGTAAATTCTACATATGCATAGATTGCAGCATAAACAGGATAATATAAACATATACAATATATATGGAACGATAAAAAGGACAAAAAATAAAAATGAGGGGAAAATAATTAATTTAAAAAGCTGAAAAGCAGGAGAGCCATTTTTAAAGGGTCAATGGGCAGAAAAAATGGCAAATTAAATTCTAATTGCCATCAAACGTTGTTTTTGTAGAATATGAACGACAGAATATCTGCAATTTTCAATATTTAGATTAATAAGAATTGACCATTTGTAGATTTTTTTAAATTTCCCAAATGCATGTTTTTTCTGGCAACATCTGCTATAAAAAATTGCACTCTAGAGTATGTTATCAAAGCTTGACAGATTGACACACGCTATAGTTTACTTAAGCTTCAGGGAAACATCCAAATTTGTATCAGCACTCCCAAGTTTGGTATTTGAAGCCTCCAACGTGTTTTAATTAACTGGTAGTGAACAGGAATAATAGGCACTAAATTAAAAATGCCGCAATTCTAACTTTTTGGATGAAATCCATGTTTTCGTGCTTCTGACTACGAATGATTAAGAGAGTTTCAGTGACACACTGCCCCCTAGTGAGATAATACTTGTACCATGCTAGTTATAGCACAATTTGCAAACATGAGTGACAAGTTTCATTTTAAAAAATGTAATTTGTAACTTATACAGCAATCAAAGTGGTTGCGCATCACTGCACAATATGTACAATCATATATGTCTATATAGGCCAACAGACGAATTTGTAAATTCAGTTGTAATCTCACATGACCAATCTGGAGCTTTAGACTCAATAGACCTTGGAATTATAACCCCCTTAACCCCTTAAGGACACATGACGTGTGACATGTCATGATTCCCTTTTATTCCAGAAGTTTGGTCCTTAAGGTGTTAAAGAATTATGTAGACTGAATGTCATAGCTTTAGCTGGTTCAAATGCTTCTTATCTGGTAGATCATAGACACTGTTATCAGGTCTATTCTTCTCTACATCTCTACTACAGAAATGTGGACTATGACAGGGATCCATTGTATCTCCCATGTTGCTTGCAGTGCTGACTGAACCAGAGTAAAATGTACAGAATTAGAGATTAATGGCAAGACCAGTCCATCAGCTTCCAAAAATGGAGGATTATTATGATTTATCAGTAAGTCAGAACATTTGTATTAATTTAACGTGGTACTTGATCATGTGCTTTCTCTCGTCAGGTGTCACCCACAATTTAATCCTCGTCCTTCATCCTGAGAAACATAGCTAAACATGAACATCTGGATTCCTTTAGAAGATCCCAACTTTAATTTAAACCTCTGTGTTATTGTTAGGATTGTGTCGGTCGTTCCTGGGTCCCCTGGCGTTCTCTGCAACGCTGCACGCTCGTGTGCTGTGGGGTTTTGTAGACATCCAAATTTGGGTCCAAATGGCGCGTTCGCAAGACTGAATGTGGATCTGAATTGTAGATTTTCCTCCATGTTGCCCTGTTGTGGTTCTAGTAGCCTGTGAGCGTGTACCTTGTGTATCCTTTTTCTGGTATCTGCTTTTGTCTGTTCATACGTTTCTCCTGATATCTGTAATCCTTTGACCTTGGTTTGTTTAATAATTTATCCGTATTTCTCCTGTCCTTGACTTAGACATTCTCTCCGACTCTTCTACCATTAGTCTGGCTACTCTAAGGACCGGTACACGGAAAGTCTATTTCTATTTATTGTGTTATAGGTCTTACATTTAGGTTCCACACTGATCCTGACAGGTATACAAATATGGTAAAAAGGGCAAAAACAAAAGAGATATACCAACATAAGATGGGATGGAATGGATCGATGGATGGATGGAAAATCTCTTGGAGGCTTTCAAAGACTTGTGCCTAATATATTTTCATTATGACTCAAACATACAAACGCTAACCTTGGTACACACAGAAATCTTTATCTTACCTTTTATAAAAGATTCACTGGGAATGAAGAATGCTGCCACACACATTCCAATTAAAATCAGAAACTTTAAAAACCAAAACCTAAACAAAACAAAACATAAGATGAGAGCAATGTACATAGTAATGCAGTATAAAGCACTATATAACATGTAGCATTTATCAGTGAATAGATTGACACACGGAGTTGACTATTGAAAAGTCTATTAACATTTAGACTAAATTATAGGAGATGGAAATAAATCCCAGTCGGCATTCAACTCACCAAAATTTGTTATTAAGTGATCCCATTAATTGTGGCACATAAAAGACAGTGAAAAATCTATTTCTATCTATGAACATTGCAATACAATTACAGAAATTTAAGGATTAAACTAAGCTGATTAATTAAGCTGATTAAACAAAATAACACACAATAAAACGTGGCTCTATATATTTGCAGAAAAACAACAAGCACAGAAGAACTTAGAGATACTTAACAATATATATGTGAATCAACCCCCTTCCCCCCACAAAAAAATGGAAGTACAAGATTTCTATTAAAGGACCACTATAGTGCTAGGAAAACATACTCGTTTTCCTGGCACTATAGTGCCCTGAGGGTGCCCCCACCCTCAGGGTCCCCCTCCCGCTGGGCTCTGGAGAGAGGAAGGGGTTAAACTTACCTTTCTCCAGCGCCGGGCTGGGAGCTTTCCTCCTCCTCTCCTCCTTCCTAGCGACGTCATCGGCTGAATGCGCATGCGCAGCAGGAGCCACGCGCGCATTCAGCCAGTTCATAGGAAAGCATTTACAATGCTTTCCTATGAACGCTGGCGTCTTCTCACTGTGATTTTCACAGTGAGAAGCACGCAGGCGCCTCTAGCGGCTGTCAATGAGACAGCCACTAGAGGCTCTAGAGGCTGGATTAACCCTCAGTGTAAACATAGCAGTTTCTCTGAAACTGCTATGTTTATTAAAAAAAAATGGGTTAACCCTAGCTGGACCAGGCACCCAGACCACTTCATTAAGCTGAAGTGGTCTGGGTGCCTATAGTGGTCCTTTAAGGATTGGACTTTTTTGTTACTGTACTATTCCTCATCCTCAATACTTTCATTGTCTAGATAAAACAACTCTTCAATGCAGTTAAATCCTATGTGCTCTTTGTCACACTTTGCCTTTACATTCACATTAACATAACAGGTTTAATATGTTTTATGCATTGTGGGAAATGTATACAAGGGAAGATAAAATTTAAATATATTGTGTAGTTTTCCTGTATACTCGTTATAATGAAAAAACAACAACAACATTTATATATATTAATGCATATTTCCCACATTTTTGTCTCACTTTTATAGTATAAAATGTGTCTGTTATTAGACATATTTATTTACATGAAGTCAATAATTTACTATTTTATTCAATTACTAGACTGTAAACTTACCAATTGAACAGCGTTGCTATTGCCCAACTGTATACTAGGGAATTCTGCTTTTTAACCCCTTAAGGACACATGACATGTGTGACATGTCATGATTCTCTTTTATTCCAGAAGTTTGGTCCTTAAGGGGTTAAATAATATTATCTTTGCAATGCACAAGTGATGATTTTAGCAATCGCCCCTTTCCAAAGTTTATATTGAATGAGCTCAGTGTATTCAACATACCTGTTTAAACTGCATATTTTTGTTATATATATTTTGCAAATTACTTTTTGCATTCGCCAAGGTACTGGCGTTTTGCACACAGTCATCTTTTTACCTATAGACACACACAGTGAAATGCATTTGATCCATTTTGTTGTTTTTATTTATGTATTAGAATGGCTAATAATTGCTACTGATTTGACCTTCCCTATGCACTTTTTCCAGTTCATAATATCCTCCTCTTAAACAAATGACACCACATATTCAAAACGAGATTGATAATTTGCTTTATAAGAAATCAAACTATATTTTTATAACACAAATTAATAAATACTAATTTCTATGCATGACCACGATATACCATCTAACCTATCATTCAACAAGATCACCTGTTGTGTTAATCAACATTAAAAAGGAAATTGATAATAATGACCTATATGAGAAATAGTAGCAGTACCTACTATTTGTGCTACTTACTGTTTTTTAAAAGTGATATATTTGAGTTTCTTGTTAAGTGCCTCGGAGGAAATTTATCAAAATGTTCTGTTCTGAAAATTGTGGAAAGATGTAATAGGAAATGATGCGTCACTAAAGGATTGAGCCTGCTGATTTCTACTGGTTTCCATGGTGACCACCCCACTTTTAGAATTTTGTACCATTTTTCAGAACACAGTATTCTACACTGAATCCCTGGATTTAGCGCGTAGTGATACAGTAACTGAACAGAAGTGATATTTACCCATTATGAACCATTGCTCGGAATTCTTGTGTAGATTTCACATTCAGAAGGAACACGGACTGGATGAAATAGAAAGACGCTGTTCCAAAGCAAACCCTGTACACAGCCGTATACCCTACAAGGATATCACAGTCCGATCCTCCAGGAAGGTGCTTGCATAAAAGAGAGAGCCAAGGCACCTGCCACAAAAGTGTAAAACAGAGCACTTGGGGCTTAGACATTAGTGTGTAACATAAACAGGTCAGAATACAAGATTGGAGTGATAGGTTAAACAATGCAACTTTGAGCAGCTCATTACAAAGGCCAATTCCCGTATGTTTAATACCGTTAATCCCCTTACTGGTGACCTTAGGTGCTGCTGCTTATAGGTGGATGTTGTGCTGTTCAGCATGTTTGATCACCATATGAATGGTCAAGCATACATCAAACAGAGAATCAACACACCAGTCTTCACTTTACTAATGATAGATATTGCTGTCACCTTATTCTACGGCTCTATACAACTTCTATGTCTACCGCAGAGAAAATGATTGGCTACAGACAAATGATTGGCTACAGACAAATGATTGGCTACAGACAATAATTTTTTAAGTGTCATGGTACGTAGTGTATATTAAAAGGATTTGTGCATCTCAGACATTTGTTGATTCCTACATTTAACTCTGTGTATTGCATATCTACCAAGTGTCCCTCTTTAGGTTGTGCAGTCCCTATTTTGGGCCCAAATTCCTCTGTCCCTCTTTTCTATTCTAATGTCCATCTTTTCTACAAACTCCATATTGTTGGTATAACTTAATGTTTAACAGAGCTCCACTGCAATAATACTCACAGTAATGAGTCTTTAAATGAAATGTGTTCATAAATCAGCATGTGTAAATAAAACACATTGTTCTTGTTCTAAACTCCATTTTAGTTGCATAAATTGTTATTAGTAAGTAACATAAAATTAGCAGCCTTGGCCCTGGCCACATCCTTAAAGTGTCTCTCTTTGTCCATTTGTAATGCTTGTAGGTAAGGTGTTATGTGAACTGGATAGGTGAAAAAAAAAGAACTCCTTGAAGACAGATCACGTTAGTGTGATATCTTTACTTACATTTTCCTTGACAGCCTCTGACACCTTTCTGGAGAGCATGAGGCAGCAGACTGTGGAGGCCATAATGTGGAAGAAGGTATACAGTACTCTGGTACCAGTGGATGCTTTAATGCTGGGACAGGATTGGCAGCACAAGGAGCATGGAGATGGTCCACAGCAGCAGCATATCTAAAAGGGAGGAACACTTGGTGATGCAACTATAATATATCATCTATACTCTTTAATTTATTGGAAATAAATTAAATAAAGAATAGGAAGGTTTGCATGGATGCATAACAGTATATATGGTTTAACCAGTATATTGTGCTTTGTGGTTTTGCATAAATGTCTGCTGTTTTGCTGGAATTCCCACAATAATAGGGCAATAGAATGTGGGACATCTCAAGAGGCTCTGCTCTGAGGAAGTTATTGAAGAAAACAAACAGTTCCAGTTAACGGAGGTTCTGCCGGACACCTGTAATTATTACCAGCCTCTTTCCAAGGCCTATTGAATGGTGGAATGGAGAAAAGAGTGTGGGGATATTTCCTGTGGTAACTCTTTGGAAAAGTGACATTTATTTTTATACAGCTCCAGCTGTAATCTCACACAATATTATGTAAATCTGCTACTGAAATGGCAAGATGATAGGTTGTCTGTTAATCAGAGCTGTGAACAAACATGCTAGCAAAAAGTGTTCTGTAACTTTAGAAAATGAGGTATTATGGATTTATATTCAATCATATCCAGTAACAAACATTTGTCTTCCAATGTAGCCAGTTATTGATAGCCTAGGCTGCCATCATAAATTGTGGGGTCCCTTATATAGATCAAGGCCTGTGTCCCCAGCACCTGCTCCACCAACAAGGTCCACCCTCCATTCCACCACCATCTTGCAAGCCCTTAGAGTTGCAATATAGGATGCAGTCTGTGTTTGTAGGGGATGCAATGTGTGTTAAGGGAATGTAGTGTATGTGTGTAGGAAATTCAGTGTCTGTAGGGGATGTAGTGTGTGCATGTGTATAGTGTATGTAGTATGTAGAAGAGAAGCAATGTGTGTGTGTAATAGATATAGTGTGTGTATATAAAGGATGTAATGTGTGGGTGTGTATAGTGGATTCAGTGTGTGTGGAAACAGAGTTATCTAAGCCTCTTACAGGTGTACAGTTTATATACCCCGATGGCGGCCTTGTTGATTATGTCTGAAGAAAGGAAATACTTTGTCATCATCCATTAGCAACCTGGATAGAACACCGCTTCCTGAAAGACATGGCTCCTGCTGTTTTCTTTTTAATAAGCACATTGTTTTTACTGTTTTTAATGTAACATCCCAATGCTTGTTTCTCCATGTCTTTTCATATTTATGTCTTTTCATATTTATGATGCCTTGTGTTATTATTGGTTATAGGCAGTGTGCAACCCAGAGTACTCTCCAACACAAGGTGTTTGCCACTGAACATCCTAGTATCTATATCAGGCTCAGAATTCCAAATAATTGTGTGATGGGTATCAGGGGCACTTACCTTCTTTCACAGGCTCACACACCACTAAAACCTTATCTGATGCTGCTTAAATGCAGTTATTTATGCCTTCCCTTGTACAAGTCAATTTATTTGACTATGACGAATTGCCCCAGAACATGAACAGGGTATATGAATCTGACTATTCCGTCTGTTCGTAGTTTCACTCAAAGCAAGATCAACATTGGAAAAGCAGTTACAAGCCCATGATTTGGAATAGGCCTACAATGTCAATGTTCAGTTGTTTTTCTTTGTATCCTTTATAAAATACAATGCAACCATCGCATTGGCACCAAACCTGTTACATATTTGAGCTGTCTGCTTGATTTATTATTAGTTATTTAGTACACATAATGCGTTTCATGTTGTGTGAGCAACCTTAAAGCCAGATGTGAGAAACTGCAATTGTGCAGAAGGTAGATTCATAGGCTATGTGTACCTGTAGTAAGTTAGAAACATAGAAACATAGAATGTGACGGCAGATAAGAACCATTCGGCCCATCTAGTGGGATAGGCATAAGGCTATCCTAACTATTAGATAAGGCTAGGGACTAATGAAAGTATTTAGAAAATTGGGCACTGGGACTGCACTCCCGCGTTCCGGATTTAGCACATTGTTGCACTTTTATTTGTTTATACTTTTAATGCAAATAAATCTTTTTATTTTTCGTATCCTGGTTCCCAGCCTTTCATCTGATACAGAAGGGAGTGCAGTCCCAAACCTGCACAACGTTCTTAAATTGAGTCTTTATTTATGACTCCAGAATTGTGAGCACCTATTCAAAGATTTGTATTCTATCTAAGAGACTGAATCAACAATACTGCGCAATTGTGTGTACTTATATCTCTTATACAGAACAAGACATATATCCACAATAGGGGTGGGTCGACTAAACAGACCCAAAAGTGATCTAAACCAGAGCTGGGTCTATAGCTCCACGTTTGTGAGTGCATACATATTTTATTTAAGATCTATTATCTCACTATTTGATCTATACTATGTTTGATTGTTTTGCATAGGAATCCACACATACCTTGACTTACCAAAAAATATTTTATCTGGATCCATAACAGGCGATTAATTAATTAACTTTTGTAAAGCGCTACATTCTTCTTTTATTTTTTGTATCTCTGTATGGTGTTATTGTAAGGAAACACTGGAATGTATAGCAGCTAACTAAAAATAATTACATATTGGTCTATCGAAATTTAAACAAATAAGCGCTGGTTTTCTACTGTATCTTTTTATTTGTATTGAGAACCTGGGAGACTCATCAGGTCTCGACTGATGGTTGGGTATGCAATAAAGAGAGCACTATATTCACGAGAGCCATGCAGGGGTTCGGGAGATTTTCAGGCGAATGTACCACTCTGGGTAAAAAGGCTTTCTCTTCCATCCGCAAAATTACCAGGTATATGAATCATCCGGATAAGCACTATAAGTTATTAATGCACTGGCACCTCACATCCATCTAACTGTATAAAATGTTCCCAAATTCCAAAGCCATCCCTTGATGAGGAGTTTTGGGCTCACAGGGAGAGGAGAAAGTAACATGAGGGGGATCTCCTGTTGGGGACGGATTCTGGGGAGATGCCTTGCTGGTCTGCTGATGTCGGTGTTTATTGGTAATTACTAATTACTGAATCCATGAAATAACTCATTGTTTGATCCATTGATTAAATATTTACATAACTGCTTAATGGACTAGGTACAAAACCTGTTGCTTCAGCAATCACAGTTCAGGCTAAAACATTGACGGATGAAGAGATGTCCGCATTATGTTCACCAAATGATATCTGCCAGGTCTATTGACACAGCTGGATGACATTGCTTTTTATTATTCATGCTAATGATGTAGTGGTCCTCCCTGCCCGTTTGAATATGCTTGTAGTACAAAACTGGTTTTGTGTGTACTAGTTGTATGTCCACCTTCTTTTTTGGTTATATTCCCTTTGTTTTGTATTGTATTGTAGTATTGAAAATATAATAAAAATAAGTTTTGGAAAAACAAAGCGTTTTCCTAAATGCTAAGTCTGGGTTATCACTTTTAATGACTGTTTTTCTCTTCTATGTTCGATCTAAGCCTTCATAGAATCCTCTCACAGTATACAGCCATGTAAAAGAGAAAGTACACTCTCTAATTTCTATGGTTTTACATATCAGGACTTAATAGCAATCATCTGTTCCTTAGCAGGTATTAAAATTAGGTAAATACAATCTCAGATGAACAACAACACATGACATAATACTGCAAGTCTTGATTTATTTAACAAAAATAAAGCCAAAATGGAGAAGCCATTTGTAAAAAAAACAAGTACACCTTAGGAATCAATAGCTTATAGAACCACCTTTAGCAATAACTTGAAGTAACGTTTTCTGCATGATTTTTTCAGTCTCTCATCGTTGTGGAGGAATTTTGGCCCACTCTTTACAACATTGCTTTAGTTCATTGAGGTTTGCTGGCATTTGTTTATGCACAGCTCTTTTAAGATTCTGCCACATCATTTTAATCGAGTTGAGGTCTGGACTTGAACGCAAAACTTTGATTCTTTTCTTTTTTACCCAATCTGTTGTAGATTGACTGGTGTGCTTGGGTTCATTGTCCTGTTGCATGACCAAATTTCGTCCAAGTTTTAGCTGTTGAACAGAACACTTTGGTATACAGAGTACATGGTTGACTCAATGACTGCAAGGTTCCAAAGTCATGTGGCTGTAAAACAAGCCCAAATCATTACCCCTCCACCACTGTGCTTCACATTTGATATGAGGTGTTTGTGCTGATATGCTGAGTTTGGTTTTCGCCAAACGGGACACTGTACATTATGGCCAAACATCTCCACTTTGGTCTTGTCTGTCCAAAGAGTATTGTTCCAGAAGTCTTGTGATTTGGTCAGATGCAATTTTTCAAACCTACGCCATGCTGCCATGTTCTTTTTAGAGAAAAAAGGATTTCTCTTGGCAACCCTTCAAAACAAATCATACTTTTTCAGTCTTTTTCTAACTGTACTGTCATGAACTTTAATATTTAATATGCTATCTGAGGCATGTAAAGTCTGAGATGTAGCTTTTGAGATTTTTGCAATTTCTCTGAGTATTGCACGGTCTGACCTTGGGGTGAATTTGCTGGAATATCCACTCCTGGAAAGATTGGCTACTGTCTTGAATGTTTATATATAAAAATACATTCTACAATAAAATACAGAAAAAAAACACATAGTGTAATACACTATAAAAGGGGGTCGTTAATATATTGCACTCATAAGCTAGAGATTGTTTAACTATTACACTATTTGTGTTTTTTTCTCTATTGTATTGTAGATTGTATTTTTATATATATTTTGTTTGGAGATTTGGAGGAGTCTTCTTACTTTCTGCAGTTTACTAAAAAGGGTAGTTTTTACCTTTTTTCTTTTGCTTATATCCACTGGTGGTGCGCATTGGGCAACAACAATTGATTATTGTTCATGTCTTTTCCTTGGCATTGTGTTAACACACATGAATGCTTCAGACAGCAAACTGCTAAAACTTATTTTTTTATAGAGGTGGTCACGTTTACTGATGATCAATTAATCAGGACATTTGATTATCAGCACCTGTCTGCCACTTAGTCTCTTAATTCCTATTGAAGCAGTAAGGGTATACTTAGTTGTTCACACATGGATCTTTATTTTGGATTTAATTTTTTTAAATAATCATAACACGGTGTTATATATAATGTGTGGTTGTTCGTCTGAGAATGTATTTACCTAATTTTAAGACCTGCTAAGGAACAGATGATTGTTATTATGTCCTGATACGTAAAACCATAATATTCAACTAGGGTGTACTTTTTCCCATGACATTCTTTTACATTGTTACTACATTCTATAAAGCATGCATGTTACACCCATATCCCACTAGGGTTTACATTTAACCAGCCTTCAAAATGATTCAATACTATCAGAGAAACTTTACAAATGATTTAGTCACCATTAAAGTATATGAGAATTCATGTAGATAAATCATTAAAAAAAATTCTAACAGTATTAAAGCATTTGGAAAGCTTATAAAAACAAGGCCTTTTTATCTGATTGTTTTAGTTAGCCAGGGCCCATGTAAAAAATAGACATATTTGACTCACAATATGTAGACAGGTCTTATTGACTGGGGGGCAATGTGAAATCTTCCATATAGACACACAATTGTCATTGTCTTTCAATAACTACTCTTAATTACAGATACTGCCGAGGTTAGCAGGGGTAATTCTAGTTAAAAACACAGGATATGGCCAATTTCCAGCATAGGTCATCAGGTGAAATTGTTGACAGGTGACGAAAGCTATGAGCTCTCATTGAAGGAAGAAGATAGCTATAATTATCTAGTCATAATAAAACATCTATCTTCTCTCCCAAGACTTCAAACTATACTAATGTTGGTATTTAAAATTGAATAAATGGTTCTACTCACTTGGTATGAGACAGAGTTTAGAAAATCCCTGCAGAGCCTGTTTCTCCTCAGGGCTTTCCGAACAGCCATTTCGTCCATTAGCCTCATGATCAGCAATCACTGAATAGTGGGTCTCTAATGAGTTCAAAGGTGCTGAGCAATACATAGAACCATATTTGGTTTTGCTTTTGCATCCAAGCAAATTCCTGAAATATTCTTTGAAGAAAGAATACCTTTCAGAACAAATGTCCCGTATCCAGTAGCTACTCTTGCAATCCAAACTGGTCCAATCAGAATTATTAAACTCGAGAGCCAGTATTGTGTTCTAGATGTGTTTTCAGAAAACCATCCCCAACTTGACGAACATGTTATACTTGATTTACATACATTTTGTAATATTCTACAGAAACTCAAGACGATGCCTGATTTTCCAAGGTAAACCTTATTGACGATTGGAGTGGCATTAAGCATTTATGGATTAAATTTGCATTCCATATAGTTTACATCAGATATAGTTCCCATTTTCAAATTTCGCTCAAAATCCTAACTTGTTCAGTTCCAAAGTTTCATAAACCGACCTTTTCATTATTTCATGTTTCCACACGATACTGGAGATGCCATCATGTTGTCCAATATTTTATTTCCTGAATGGTGCCAAGTCCAGCAGTGGGATGATACACATCTTGCTGTCCACACAGGCTCGTCCTTCCCTGTAGCATTTTCTTACATCTCTATCAACATAGATTCATTGTAACATATGAAAAGAACCACGCTGCATGTCGATTACCTGCACTCAATTCTGAAAAAGGCAGGGATTAGTCTGATGCTAACAGAAGATTCAACCAGCTTCAAACCATCTGCACAGGTGGGGGGAAGGGGTGTTGACTGAACGCTCAGTACATCAAATGAGATTTTAGCAAAGCCATTTAGTTACATTTGAAAAGGCATATTCACGCAATATCTTTTCTTTTATATCTAGGATAACAACAGATCCAGTAGTTGAGCACGGCAGTCAAACACGTGTCTAGTGTTGCAACAAATGTACATTCTGTAAATTGACTTGACCATTTATTCAAGACGACGTACAGATTAAGCATGCCGATCATGTTCTGGGAACAACGTGTCTCTGAAATACATTTCATGGGCAATAAAACTTTATTAATTGTTGAGTAGAATGAAAATGGAAGAGTGCAAAGATACCCAGAAAGAGCTTTCTGCTTCTTTAAAATCAAGGGAGCTGTGTAAGAACACTGCGTTAAGTAGACACTGTGTAAGCTTATTAATGCTTTTAATAGCAAGGATAATAAAGTGGCAGGGAACACAACATGAGGTGACAAACAAATGTCTTAGAGAAGATGAGAACAGCATTTTAGCTGCACAATTTGCTAGATTAGTAAAGGCATTATAGTTCAATATTTTTATTTCTTTGGAGAATGAAGAAGTCTAAGTTTACACATTTTTCTTGTACAGACCAGTCTAAACTAAGTCTTTAAATTATACGTTTATTGTTCAACTAGTATTCACATGAAGATTACAGAAACATCCGAGTCAGCACTAAGAATTCTGATACAGTATGAGATATTTTGCAGGATAAACATAACAAAACCAAGTAATATTATAAATAATAAAAGACTGAGAAAGAAACAAACATTGACAAATATAAAGTGAAAAAGGGGACATAGAGAAAAGGTTTTAAACATTTCCATAGATGCAAATACCTTTGCCTATATAACCAAGTGCAATTTTACCACATGACAGGAGGCTTCACATTTGCATAACTCTCTTTACTGAAAATCTCCAGCAGAACAGAAACAACAACAAAAAAAAAACAATCAGAAAAAAATTAGTTGATACACAAAAGGCCTTATTAGCCTCACCTCCTCCTCTTTCTTTGCTGATCCAGCCTTAGCACAGGCCAGAGTATTTTGTTTCTCTCTGGTGATTTATTATTAATGGAATTTTTTTACTTGTTTTATGTTTTATACTATACTTATTTAGGTTCCCTGGCTTCCGCATACCTGTCCCTACTGTTATTCTATATATAACTATCTGTTTATAACTATCTGTTTGACTGGCCTCAGCCCTCTGTCATTTGGCTGTCACTTTTGTGTAAGTGTTTCTACCTCTCCCCTCGGACCGCTGGCGTCGTGACTGTCAGTGCCGCGCCTGCACTGCCGGTCTATTGGGGGTCATTGCTGTCAGAGTTAGCAGGCTTGGGGACGGGTTGGAGGGAGGCCGGGATGCTTAATTCGCAACATTTTTGGCAGACCCGCTTTTAGCAAGGCTTGCTGACCATTGCGTGCGAGCGGTGGCCATCTTGGATATCGCGAGTACTGCGAGATTCATGGTGGCCATTTTCTTTCTCTATTCCAGATTGGGAATCACACGATCCGGATTTAAGGTGAACTGTTGGACTTGGATTTATACACATTCAACTTATAGATCAGCAAAGGTACCTCATTAAAGCTGGATTGTTACTTTACCTGTCACCTCACAATTGATGCAGGATTCCCAACAATACTGAGGAAATTGGAGGCATGTGGCTTCTTTCTGGGAACTGAGTGTATTTTATACTGCCTGAGTGCATTCATTATAACCCTTATCAGGGATATATATACATATATATATATATATATTGTACCAAGCGTACAAATATTAATGTGGGTGTCCTCTGGGTTTTCATGGCACACCACCTAGGGTGACCCCCCCAGATATCCATCTATTTCCAATATTGTGCCATATACTAACGTGGGTGTCCTCTGGTTATAACGGCACGCCACCTGGGGTGAGCCCCCAGCTAATTACATGCGGGTCCTGCTGCGGCAGGCCCTTAGGGTACTGGTATAACTCTGCTTATTACGTGCACTGCACATTGATCATCGCTAAGCGAGGTACAGCTCCGTGTACAACTGTGTTGAACCCCGTGAAAAAGGGAGTTGTTGGATCACCTGTTACTATGAGACATTCACATCTTAGCTACCTTTCAAGGGTTCCCCGCTGGTTATCAGAAGAGAGAGAGCCCTCCCGCATTGGCACACAATATTCATACACTCAAAGGCACTTTGGGGCTACTATTTCCTGGGCAAGCCCCTGTTGTACCAGGAGACTGGCATCCCTATGTGATTGCCCTACCACCATTGTCCCCGCTGACTGTCACTATTTCACACACAGGACAGAACCAGACCATGGAAGACACACCGCCACAACCCAAGCTATGATTAATGCCGCGGTGGCGGCCTTGGTGGAGAAGGCTTTGCTGCGAGCTCTACCCCAATCCCATGGAGACGCAGGCCCTCCAGACCTGGCGGAGGCCTCAGGATCGGAAATGTCAAAGTCTAAGCGCAATTGGAAGGGATCCAGTCCTCCGACTGCTAGGATCAAAGGCAAAGCACCTGTTAAACGATCCAAATGAGCGGAACCACAGGAACCCATACCCCACCCCCTCCTTCCTCCAACAAGGAGGACTAGGGTCAACACTTACCTCAGTCTTCCTTAAAATATGTTAAGGAAACCGTACTCAGGGAGGATGAAGGACACAAGGATACCCCAAGCGGCCATAAACCTAGGTTGACCAATGATGGTATCTTCCTGGACAAGCAAGGAGTACCACTCTTCGACCCTCGTATAATCAGAGTGGAGCCTCCCCGACCACCTGGCTAGATTCGTACATTATTGGCTACGCAAGCCCCTAGAGAAAGAAGTTCGTGCATGACTGAAAGCCAAATGTCTTAGGCTGCTCCTGCCGGACAAAATGGCTGTTACAGAATTCAACGCCATGGTGGTGGTCTTTATGTCCCGCTCTGGACAGGACCCACGCAAGGGCATTGAGAAAGGCCTAAAGGCTGCACAAGATAAACCACTATATTTGCTTGGCCCTACTGCAAAGTTCTCTACTTTACGGATTTAACGCTCTCCAAAAGCTCCCAACTCGACCCAAATGCTATCTGCCAATGGGCTCAGCAGTGCATATATCTACTGGGCAATGCCAGTGCGGCACTATGCACCAAACGATGTAGATCGGTATTGATCCTCATCGAAAACAAGCTTTTAGAACTTGGATCTAAAGAACTCGGCCCAGAAGCTAAAGGCCTACTGTTTGGCGAAGCTTTTAAATTGGAACTTAAGAGGCACGTGAGCCTGTTTACCACTTTAAATAAGGCACAAGCATCCCTAAAGCAGGTCTTCCGTGCCCCACCTGGACGAGGTGTTTTTGGGAGGGCTGGTCGTCAGAGGAGCCGAGCCACCAGCCGCTTCTGGTCGACAGGCTCCAGACCACATCCACAGTCATCCAACTTCTTCCCAGCCACTACTCAAACATCCTCTTTCTACAGAGACGCGGCTAGAGCCAGAGGCTCCAGAGGACGAGGTTGCTTCACTACGGGTAAGTTCACATACCAGCCTAACTTTATCACTGGAAACCTGTCTCTTTTCTTGCAGCACTGGACAGAGATTAGGCAAGGATGCCTGGGTACTCCAGATGGTTCAGGTTTACACCATAGAGTTGTACTCGCAGCCTGTTCAGGCCTCCCCTCCGTCTCCAATACACTTGTCCACGGATCACTAACTTCTAGTGGACGAAGAAGTCCTCACCCTCTTGGAGAAAGGTGAAGTCCAACACGTGCCAGAGGGTTGGCAGCTTCTTTAGCAACATCTTCCTGGTCAAGAAGAAAATGGGAGATTACTGACTGGTGATCAACCTGCGGCACCTTAACTATTACATAGTGTACAGACATTTCAAGATGGAAGGGATACATATTTTGCAAGACCTCTTCATCATGAATGACTGGTTCACCCGTCTGGACCTCAAAGACGCGTACCTTATGGTCCCCGTTGCCCTAGAATGTCAATGCTTTTTTCGCTTCAGGTGGAGAAGACAAGCATGTCAGTTGACGTGTCTGCAGTTCGGCCTCAGCTTGGCTCCGTGGTGCTTCACGAAGCTGCTGAAGCCAGTAATGGCACACAATCAAACCATGGGCGTACGATGTCTCGTTTACCTGGACGATTTTTGAATCTTCTGCAAATCCGCCTCCAGACTACGACTGCAGATGAAATTTGCCGTTCACTTTCTGGAATCTTTGGGTTTCGTGGTGAACAGCCAGTCGTCTCTCTCTCCTTCCCAGCTGTTCCAGTTCCTCAGCTTCGAGATCGACTCATGGAACTGCGTATTACGCCTTCCTACAGTGAAGATAACATCCATAAGGAGAAAAATCAGACGGGTCCTACGGATGGATACTATCCCCCCCAGGATGCTCGCTCGGATTGTGGGACTCCTGTCCTCCTCCATTCAGGCGATATTTCCGGGACCCCTACACTACAGGGCCATGCAATGCCTGAAGGCGAGATGTCTATGCTCTGGACACAGCTACGATCACTGGATTCCACTCTCATCGAATGTTTGGACGGGACTCCGCTGGTAGTTCCTTCACATGCAAGCCTGGAATGGCAAAGTGATCTTTGGCTCAGCGCCGGAATTCCTTGTGGAATCGGACGCCAGCCTCTGGGGCTGGGGTGCCCACTGCTCAAACTCCTCCACAGGGGGACCTTGGCAAGGTGATGAGACTGAACTCCACATCAACTGCCTGGAATTGATTGCGAGATCCTTCGCAATATGCAGCTTGGCCAAAGACATGTCGAACTGCTGCATTCTGCTCCGCATAGACAATGTCTCGGCAGTCCAGTACATCAACTGCCTGGGTGGGGCCAAATCCCAGGCTCTCACGAAAGCCATGAAGGACATATACAGATTCTGCCTCTCTCGCAATATTATTCCCTGCCGGGAATTACCAACCTATTGAACCTGTCGAGACCACCAGCACCAAAATATTCACGTCCTTAGCGCTTGGCAGGATAATCCTTACCTTTCTCTGAAACAACTGCCAGACAAACTTACCATTTTGCTGTGCCTCATTTCTTTTTGTCACGTGGCAGATATCAGGGGGTTCGATGTGGACGGTTTCGCCTTCACTCCAGAAGGGGTTTCCTTTACAGTCTCTCGTCGCAGTAAGTCAGATTCCTCCATGGTGTTTTATCAGTATTTTCTGATTTCCCCAATTTGTGTGTGGTTAAGACGTTGGTGTGCTATACCGAAATCACCGCTCCCCTCCGAACATCTTCGGCAGGTCAGCTTTTGATTTCATTTGTCAAGCCTCATGGACTGGTGTCAACTACAACACTGGCCAGATGGGTCCGCTGGCTTTTATCATTAGCCAGCGTTGAACCCTGGTTTGGGGCCCACTCAGTTAGGGGTGCGGCTGCATCGCAAGCTTTCTTGGCAGGAGTCTCTCTTGCCAACATTATGCGTTGTTCAGATTGGACACGTGAGAATACATTCACAGTGTTTTATTTTCATCAGACTTCTCATGCCTCCTTTGCTCTGCTTGATACTTAGCGTTAAAAATGCAAATAGGAAGCCTCCTGTCATGTGGTAAAATTGTAGATTATGTAGTTTACCTATAATCTTAATTTTAGTAATGACAGGAGGAGAATATTTCCCTCCCTATGTTTCCCTCCCGAATGGTGGGTGTTCAATTGTTACGTTCATATGGATTTTTTCTCCGTTTGGACATTACATGATTGTATGTGTGTGGTTGTTATTTAGGTATACTTATCAACTAATTAGAATTGCTATTCCTTCATGACATACATAATCGGTTTCAAATGACTTTAATGCTCATACTATGCGGAAAACTTGTCAATTCAGCTGCCTTTCACTTGTTTCTTTTTCTTTCAGTGTGATTGGTTCTCTTCAAGGGACAAATTCATCTTCCATCTGTTCTTCAGGAGGTTCTTGCCCGGATTTAGGATCATAATGTTTTATTAAACTTTTTGACATCCGTTTATTGTTTGATTTATCTTTTACTTACCTGTTTACTATTCGCTACAAAGAAAGAGGAGAAGGTGGGGCTAACAAGGCCTTTTGTGTATCAACTACCTTTTTTCTGATTGGTTGTTTTTGTTTCTGTGCTGCTGGAGATTTTCAGTAAAGAGAGTTATGCAACTATTCGCCTCCTGCCATTACTAACATTAAGATTATAGGCACACTATGTTAGCATAATCTACAATTGTTGGCAAACTTTTTTTTTTTCTTAGCAAAAGCAGTTTGGTGATTGCTTTCACTAGCATTTCGGCATCTTCATGGCTCATGGCACTTTAGGCGACCTTGGTATCATCTGACAGATATGCTTGTATCACATGACAGTGCGCGGCAATGGATGCGTAATTTTTAACTCATGAACAGGAAGGTACGTGATTAAAGGGATACTATAGGCATCAAAGCAACTTTTGCTTAAGGGACCACTATAGTGCCAGGAAAACATACTCGTTTTCCTGGCACTATAGTGCCCTGAGGGTGCCCCCACCCTCAGGGACCCCCTCCCATCGGGCTCTGGGGAGAGGAAGGGGTTAAAATCATACCTTTCTCCAGCGCCGGGCGGGGAGCTCTCCTCCTCTTCTTCGGCTGAATGTGCATGCGCGGCAGGAGCTGCGCGCGCATTCAGCCAGTCTCATAGGAAAGCATTCATAATTCTTTCCTATGGACCCTTGCAGTGAGAAACACGCAAACACCTCTAGCGGCTGTCAATGAGACAGCCACTAGAGGCTGGATTAACCTATTTATAAACATAGCAGTTTCTCTGAAACTGCTATGTTTATTTAAAAAAAATGGGTTAACCCTAGCTGGCACAGGCACCCAGACCACTTCATTAAGCTGAAGTGGTTTGGGTGCCTAGAGTGGTCCTTTAATGAAACGATTTTATTGTTTAGATCATGCATTTGCAATCACACTGATCAATTTTCTGCCATTTGGGCGTTAAATCACTTTTGTTTCTGTGTATGCATCATGAAAAAATGATTTAATTTCCAATCAGATGTTAACTTAACTCTTAACTTCTATCCCCTGCTCTGTAAATTTAACTTAAATAACACATAGGCGCCTGCAAGGTCTAGCACGCTTTTAACAGAGCAGCAGATAAGAGATTCTCAATTAAAAAGACTGTGTAATAAAGGAAGTTTAAACATTAGTTCTTTCTTTACCGGAAGTGTGCAGAAAGTCTTTGTGAGCCACATAGAGGGAGGTGTGACTAGAGCTGCATAAACAAAGTGATTTAACTTCTAAATGACAGAGAATTGAGCAGTGAGACTGCAGGCCATGATCTACCACTAGAGCTTCTTCATTAAGCTTGTTTTGGTGACTTTAGCATCACTTTAATATTGGACAATTAGGAAGCCGCCACCTTCATTTCAATTAGTGCACAAGCTCCACAGGCATGGACGGAAATTATGCCAATGGGTTCTTAAGCAATAAATGGGCATGAGATGACTCTGCCTTCTTCATGTAGGCAACAAGGTAGTGTCCTTTGTCAAGCATGCACCTTGGGCAGTTCCTGCCTATAAATCACAAGAACATCCCTGACCCAGTTACTCTGTAGCTCCACTTCCTTTTTTGATTCTCTTTTTTATGCCCTACTCTATTACAGTCTCCATTTCCTCCTGATATACTGAACTCCTGACGTTTGCTTTGTCTCTTGTCGCCAACTGACCCTAACCTTTTGCTTTGAACTGACTGGCTTCTTCTTGCTGCCTTCACTGATCTGTCTCTTTTGGTTGAAATTTCTTTATTCTTGTAGAATTTCTTTACTCTCATGTTTTGAATAAAGTCCTTGTACTGCTCCCATCCCCATGTTTTTCTTGGGAGTGATGAGTCAGAAGGGTGTGCTGTCTGCCTGCAAATGGTTTCCAGCTCCACAATGTGCATCACAAAGAAATAATGCTGGCATGCTGGAAGAGAGGTTTAGTCATCCAGTCTTTAATTAAGGAATCTCACCCTCAACAACAGAGCAAGAAGGAAAGGTAGCTGCCATGTTTGCTTTGGGAAATCCGGGGCTTGTCTAGCAAAGATTTGACATAACTTTATAAATGCATTATATAGATAAAAAGAACACTCCAAGCACCCTTTACACTACTATACTGGTGCCCACCCCATTGTAAACAGTCAATCCATTTTCTAACAGTTTGACTTTCTACCTGGGGTCCACCAGGTGTTCCTTCCTGTCTCCTCACAGCTGGAAGCCATAAGCTCTGAGCTATGCTCAGCCAATGAGCTGTCACTCAATGTAGAGTCTTGCAGGAATGCTTAAAAATTACCAGATTTTACTAATCTCATGACGTAAAGTCATGATTTTATAAAGGACACGGAGGCGAGTATTATGCTTATCTCTTTCTTTATTCCTCAGCAGCAAAAGAAAGGATATTGCATATATTCAACGGAAAAAAAAATTCAATAACAAAACATCATTTACCCCCAAAGGGTTAACCATATATAACATATAAACCAACGAGAGTGTTCCTAGCATAATAATGTCCCATGTGACCCTAAGCCATTCCTCTTTCTTGATGTTGCCGATGAACACTCCCACAGACAGAATGACGTAACCAATAGATGTGTAGAGAAAAACGTGAGTCCAGGAAAACTATGGTACCGGAACTCCGGAGAAACTGGCAATCTTCTGTTTGAACTTGTCTGGACAGACATGGACCAGTATGACAACCCAATTAGGAGGCTGTAAGACAGAGAAACAAAATGGTAAAATAAGTTCTTGGATAGTATTTCCACATTCATTTTCCAACATTAACCAAACAATATGTCAGTCCATTAATAGTTAATCAAGTGAAAGAAACAATCACATTATCACACGGCTCGTGCCCCATTACGTGATGGTATATTCACAGGGAGGGTGGAACTTACCTTGATTGGGAGGGATAATACTCGCCTCCGTGTCCTCTATAAAATCATGACTTTACGTCATGAGATTAGTAAAATCTGGTAATTTTATTAAAGGACACGGAGGCTCCTATTATGCTAGTTCAAAGCTGCGAGATCACTGACGTGGAAAAATTAGAAACTGGACGAAAATAAAATTCCCGGAATGTAGATTCTCTGGACCAGTCAGCTGCACGGAGGAGATCTTCCAGCCTACACCCTACAGAAAAGGTTTTTGATGCCATAGCACCCCTCACTGAGTGTGCTCCGTAGGTGGCGGTATCAATGCCAGCCGACGCCATGATCCATTTGACCCAGCGAGATATGGTAACTGTAGAAAACGGATGGTGTGGTTGTTGAATTGCCAGAAACAGATCTGGATACTGGGGATCCAAACCGCAGCCGTCCTTGCTTCATATTCCTTGAGACAGGCTACTGGGCACAGGCTAACGTTATGTGGAAAAGCCGGGTAGAAAACCGCTGTAATGGATGTCTTCGTACGTCTCGATATATCGAAGGACACGCCTACTGGTGTAAATGAGTGTGCCGTGAGGTCCAGTGCTCGAACATCTGAGACACGTTTACAGGAGATGAGACAAAACAGCATAACCAGTTTAGCGGTGAGCTGCTTGATCGAGAGGTCCTCATTCTTTGACCAATTTTCAAAAAGTCGGAGAACGAGACTAACATCCCACAAATCTGAATATCTAGGTCGTGCAAACTTGATGCCACGTAGGAGTTGACATACCAATGGGTGTTTCCCTGTTTGAAATCCTTCGCTAGTTCTGCAAGTATTGTTGACTTTGTGCCCCCGAGGTGGTTGATATAGCAGACCGCTGATATAATGTCCATGTGTAACAGAATTGAGCAATTGGTCGATATACTTAAAAGACTCCGTAGGGCAAACGATCCTGTCAGCAGTTCGAGGCAGTTGATATGAAGTCCCTGTTCCTCTAGGGACCATTTTCCTCCGGTGGAGGTAGATCCGCAGCGCGCACCCTAGCCGCGTTCCAGGATTCCATGTGTTGTAACCACCCATTATGAGGATATCGTCCAAGCATATTATGAGTCTAACTCCTCTGCTGCGTAGGAGGGTGACCACTGGTTTCATGAGCTTTGTGAAGCACCAGGGTGCTGATGAGAGGCCTAACGACAGGCATTTGAATCGCCACACGGTCTCCTCCCATTGGAATTGAAGGAATTTTAGGCAGTCTTCAGCCATTGGAACCGTGAGGTACGCGCCCTTCAAGTCGAGCTTGACCATCCAGTCCCCTGTAAGCAGGAGGTCTCGGAGGGAGTGTATACCTTCGATCTTGAAGTGGTGGTATGTGACAAACATGTTTAAAGGTAGTAAATTGATGACTGGACGAACACCTTCGCCTTTTTTGGGGACCAGGAAGAGGTTGCTTAGGAAACCTGGAGTGAGAGGGTGGATTGCAGAAATTGCACCCTTGGAGACTAAGGCCTGGACTTCCTGTGATATCAAATATTAATCGTGGGTGGGGAACACCATGCGGTTGGGGGGCTTCATTTCAACAGGATATTGCACAAAATCTATAGAGTAACCCTGGACAGTGTGAAGGACCCAGGCATCTGCAGTGAGCATGCGCCATGCATTGACAAAGTGACACAGTCTGCCCCCCACCATTGTTAATGAAGACAGATGAAGAGGTATTGAACTTACCATAAGGTTGTCGGCCATAGGAAGAACCTCTGGGTCCCTGAGACTGCCATGGTCTGCCCCGAACCGGGAAGAACGGTGAGGTATGTTTTGGCTCAGGTGCTGTGAACCTGGCCTGTATGGAGCCTCGAGAGCCCCGGTATGAACCCCAGGGTGAGCGGCCGGGCAGACGGCCCTGATAAAAACCCTCTGGTGGAACACCCACTTCATGCTGGCTTGAGCTTTATCAAGTGCCGTAAAGGTGCCTACATACGTGCCTAATTCTTTAACAAAATTATCTCCAAACAGGAGGGCTTTTGCCTGGGGTCCAGGCTCTGAAATAGCTAGGTTCACTAGCTTAGGTTCTATTTTAATCAGGATCGCCTTGCGTCTTTCAGTGGCCACCGCAGTATTGGCTTACCCCAGAAGACATACGGCTCGCTGGAGCCACCTCCTGATGGCTTCCAAATCTAACGGTGTACCACCTGCTAGTGCGATTTCGACCATGTCGAACATCTTCGCAATTGGTCCCAGGACGTCCAGGACCTTATCTTGGCAATTCCACCAGGCAAAGTCCAGGTCCTTCTTGGCCTTCCAACCTGATTTTCCCAAGAATTGGGCGATCTTTGGGTCTACGTCAGGGGTGACGCATTCCATATCAGGAATAGTGGGGCATGGGCATTCTGCTCGAAGTTTGTTTCGTGCCACCTTGTCAAGTGGCTTTCTAATGCGAGCAGCGATATATTTCGCTACATGTTCCAGGGGATACCACTCCAAGGATCTCGGGTGTTGTAGGGTGTCGGGGTCAAAAAGTGGCTCGCCCTGAGGGTCAACCAGGGCGGAGTCGTCAACTCCATCTTTGGGGTCTGTTCCCATTAGTGTCAAGGAGCTGTACTCCGGCAAATAACTGTTGGAATCGTAAGAGTCCTCTTCATCGGACTCACTCTGTGCCTCCTCTTGCTACGATTCAGTCGGAGGATTCAATCAGGGCCTTTGCCCTCTTCCAGTTCCTCACCGATTTTGCCCGGTGGGGCACTCTTAGTTGTGGTCCAACCACAGGTTAGATTTTGGAGGCATACTCGTCCAAATGGCGAGACTTTTTTGCGGCTTTACGCCCACTAGGGGCCACCGGTTTACTCTCTGGGGGGTTAGCCATGGGATCTGGTGGTAGCTGAGTGGACCTCAGTGCATTGGTTATCGAATGGGATATATTACCCGACATGGCTCTCATTGCAGTAAATATGGCTTGCGTCACAGACGTCACCATAGCAGCGTCTAGGAGGGAATGTAACTCTTCCGAGTCCATTTGCTCCTGTGATGCTTCAATTATTGTATTTTGGGCACTGGTACGGGTGTTGTGGTTATGGTGGCCATAGTGGCAGCGCCGTCAATTATCTTATCAGCCTGCATGTCTCAGGAGTAATGGGCCAATATGACAGGCAGAAGAGTTATTCTCAGACTGGGCACTACAGGTCTATAGTAGGGAGATTTATTCTAGGAGCAGATTGGGGTACAATGCTATAACTAAAATCTAGCAGGCACAAATAGTATAGTACTAGTATGTAAAAATACAGTGTAAAAAACAGGCACAGATTAAGCAAATACAGCAAGCTCACCGAGTGTTCCTTTAGGAATAAGCTCCTGGGGGGCACCGGGAGACTTGCCTAGTAACTGAGCTTAATCCCGCCTTAATCCTCCCTTTGGGGGTAAATGATGTTTTGTTATTACATTTTTTTTCCATTGAATATATACAATATCCTTTCTTTTGCTGCTGAGGAATAAAGAAAGAGATAAGCATAATAGGAGCCTCCGTGTCCTTTAATAAAATCATTGCCACTATAGCCCAGTTTTAAACAGGAGAGTGGGATCAAGGTGCTTTAAGTATCATGAACTTATTGCGGTGCTTAGGCTTATCCTTTAAAGTGTGCATGTCATTATATATACACTTTTGCCTAATTTAAAAGTACAATAAATACCATCTCTTTATTCTGAAAGCAGAATTGCTAGCAAATGTATAGATTTGCTAAAAACAGGTCCCTCGTCCCATTTCACCAAATTTATATCTATGCCTATCTATATCTATGTCTATCTGATTTGCAGGGGAGAACAGGTGAACCCTCCTAAAGGCAGTTCTCCTGCTTCCCAGCACTTGCACCATGGTCAACCCTCCAGCCATCAATACTTGCATTGACTCCATGAGTCTAGGAATGCAGAGTGTAACGGATCACCTGGCACCCCGACTGTGTACCTCCGTTAAAGGATGCTCCTAGCGCTTCCTGAGGACTCCAAGCACTGCAGCAGACACCACAACCACCGAACCGGAGAAGCATATGAATCCTCTCAAGCATATGAATGCTGTAGACAGTTGAATAGGAACCATACGAATAGGTTTACTCTCCTAGCAGTCAAACTGGAACAGCATACAATAAATCCTTCCCCCAATAATGAGACGACACTTCACTTTGAGGGTTAAAACAGGAACTCAGGTGCTGGCACACCCAGCCTGGTTTTTATTACAGTCTTGCAAATACAGGACCGCCCACAGGGAGGTATAAAACAACCAATCACATCACAGTTACATCCCACATATTCCCTCCCCTTATCCTGAGAGGAAACTCAATTATACATACAGTTAAAACATACTTTCTACCCAACTTTCATAACTCCAAAACCATACATCACATTCACATAAAATTACATATTCACAATCAATCCATTCAGGGGAACAACATATTCAAAAATGGCACAAATCAGACAAGGGGTTCAAAAGTTAGTAAAAAGTCCTTTGTGACTAAATGAAGCATGGCTTTCTGGCCCAAACCAGTTTCAGAGTCTTCTATCCTGGAGATAAGTAATTCAATTATCTCCCAGGACAGACACAAGACTCCATTAAGCACATGGTTGCAAAAAGACACAAAACACTTTAAAATACATAAAGTCATCTTTTACACATAAGACACAGACATTTCACATATCCCCAGATAGCTGGGATCTGAGCGCACAAAACTACCGAATAGCGCTCAGATCCTATTCACACAGTTCAATTGCCATGGAGCCGAAGTCTTTAACTACACGAATGGGCTCCATGGCATAGCTATCTGGGTTAACACATTCACATAAAGTCTGGTCCATAGTCCCAAGGCAAGAGGCGGGCAAGCAGCCCCCTCCAAGGACACGTGGCGAGGCCGGTTTCGCCACATTTCTCCCCTTTACCATCCAGACTAACAGGGCATCTGACCTCCTGCCGGTCAGTGCCCTGGTTAGTCCAGTAACCCACCCACGAAGCACAAACAGCAATACAGCCCACCCACAATAACTGGTTACTACACCTGGATAAAATAGCAACTTGTCCATGTCCAGGTGCCTCACCACGGCTGTGCGGGGGCTGGTAGACTGCCTTGGTGGGTTGCTGAGTGGGCAGAGACCAGCGGTACTCTGCCCGGGTGCCAGCGCTACCACTGAAGTAGCCTGGTTGGAGCCTGGTTGTGGGAAGGGGAGACCGACTGTCTCCCCTCTGGATACACTGCTCTGTGGCTGGGGGACAGGACCGACCGTCCCTACCCCTGGTGCTGCAAGTGCAGAGACTACGGTCCCATCTGCATAGTTGTGGGGCTTAACATCTCCCCTTGGTGGGTTAGGCTGCCGCTGGAGAGAGGGTGTAACAAGCTCCTCTCTCTGAACTGTAGACTGCCGCTGGGGAGAGGGGGTAACCTGCTCCTCTCCCTGACACTCTCTTTGCTGGTGGAGAGGGGGACCAACTGTCTCCCCTTTCAATATTTTGTCCTGCGGCTGGGGTGCGAGACAGACGGTCTCTGCTTCCTGGGGTACACACTGCCGCTGGGGAGGAAGGACGGCACCTTCAGCTCCCTGGGGTACACACTGGCTGGGGAGGAAGGACCACCTGCTCCCTGGATACACACTGCCGCTGGGGAGGAAGGATGGCACCTTCTGCTCCCTGGGGTACACACTGCCGTTGGGGAGAGGGGATAACAAGCTCCTCTCCCTGACACTCTCTCTGCTGTTGGAGGGGGAGACCGACTGTCTCCCCTTTCAATAATTTGTCCTGTTGCTGGGGAGAGGTGATAACCGGTTCCTCTCCCTGGAACACTCTCTGCTGTTGGAGAGGGGGACCAACTGTCTCCCCTTTTAATATATTGCCCTGCTGCTGGGGAGCGAGACCGACTGTCTCCGCTTCCTGCAGGACACACTGCCGCTGGGGAGGAAGTACAGCACCTTCAGCTCCCTGGGATACATACTGCCGCTGGGGATCTGGGCTGACTGCCCAGCATCCCTGTAGGGCCTGTAGAGAGACCTCGGTCCCATCCCCACCTGCCAGCTGGGTGTCTTCCCAGGACAAGTCAATAAGGTCTTCCATCTCTGGGGCTGGTTGGGACATATGTGGTACAGTACCAAAGTCTCCTGATAACAGGCTTGGTTGCTGGGGAGGAGGAACTAAACTCAATGCTTCCGGTGGTATACAGTCAATAAGCCCCATCATGTCAAAGACAGGCGGCGTTATACGTTGGAATAGGCAAACATAATCCTGTTCTAGTTCCCACTCTCGGTTGGCAAGAAAAGATAGATCTGGCTGAATGGCATCGATCTCTGTAAGGTCCCAGTTGTCTGCCCGCTCAGCTCGGATGGACCAGAAGCGAGCAATGTCGGTGTCTCCGAACCAGAGACTAGTTTCAATAGTATCCCACAACAAACCAGGGCCGTCGTAGTCTTCCCCCTCAATACACTTGTACTCAATCAGCCATGGGTAGAGGTGGTAAACATGCCACCGCAGGGCCCGATAGGAATCATCCAGCCACACCTCAGTCTCAACTAGCGTCTCCAGTTCGCTTACCCATTCCTCTGAGGGCTGGTTTCCCAATAACGGCATCCGCAGCTCTAGTTGTTCTGCTTGGCGCTGGTTAGTAGGTCAGGATTTCCTCGCACCGGAAGGGTCGAATTTCGTCGATGTCCTCCTTCCAGAGATCGGTACGAAGCGCCACCCTCCACTCTGTCTCTCTTTCCTCTGGGATAGGATACTCCATACTGCGCATCACATCCTGTAGTCGCTGCTGGAGCCTGGCGTCAAAGTGAGATACTGCACGGCCTTCCATCTCTGAAGTAGTGCTGGTTTTCCCAAATCTTTATGTAGACAGGGACGCTGTATGAACACTAGCGTCACCTTCAATTTGTAAATCCACGAACTGTGTCTCTGAGCTGCTTTACCTCGCACTAGGACGCCATCCCACCGCTGCCACCAATGTAACGGATCACCTGGCACCCCGACTGTGTACCTCCGTTAAAGGATGCTCCTAGCGCTTCCTGAGGACTCCAAGCACTGCAGCAGACACCACAACCACCGAACCGGAGAAGCATATGAATCCTCTCAAGCATATGAATGCTGTAGACAGTTGAATAGGAACCATACGAATAGGTTTACTCTCCTAGCAGTCAAACTGGAACAGCATACAATAAATCCTTCCCCCAATAATGAGGCGACACTTCACTTTGAGGGTTAAGCAGGAACTCCCTGTACTGTCACATACAGTCTCTTTTATTCCCAATCCACAAACATAGTACAGCCCACAGGGCGTTACAAAACAACCAATCACATCACAGTTACATCCCACATATTCCCTCCCCTTATCCTGAGAGGAAACTCAATTATACATACAGTTGAAACATACTTTCTACCCAACTTTCATAACTCCAAAACCATACATCACATTCACATAAAATTACATATTCACAATCAATCCATTCAGGGGAACAACATATTCAAAAATGGCACAAATCAGGCAAGGGGTTCAAAAGTTAGTAAAAAGTCCTTTGTGACTAAATGAAGCATGGCTTTCTGGCCCAAACCAGTTTCAGAGTCTTCTATCCTGAGATAAGTAATTCAATTATCTCCCAGGATAGACACAAGACTCCATTAAGCACATGGTTGCAAAAAGACACAAAACACTTTAAAATACATAAAGTCATCTTTTACACATAAGACACAGACATTTCACATATCCCCAGATAGCTGGGATCTGAGCGCACAAAACTACCGAATAGTGCTCAGATCCTATTCACACAATTCAATTGCCATGGAGCCGAAGTCTTTAACTACACGAATGGGCTCCATGGCATAGCTATCTGGGTTAACACATTCACATAAAGTCTGGTCCATAGTCCCAAGGCAAGAGGCGGGCAAGCAGCCCCCTCCAAGGACACGTGGCGAGGCCGGTTTCGCCACACAGAGACTGCCATCACTCTGTATAAAAGGCAATGTGTTGGCAATGAATAGTGCATATGGCAGTTTGACAGGGGAAGACTGCCACGCTTGGAGAATTGTCCCAAAGCAGGACCATTTAAATAACAGTGTCAAGATACCACAATATTCTGTGCAATAAATATTTCTATGAAAATTCTACACTTTTCAATAACAATAACAAATAATTGATAAAACGTTCCATCATACAGTTAACTTCAAATTGTATACAGCAGCCAAATCTGCTGCTGTTGTATCCTGAAACATGAACTCCTGGCAATGCAGACTACTATTAGTGCTTCCCCAAATCAAACATGGCCGCCGCGGCTTCAGATTATGTCACACGTCATATCCGGTTGTTTCAGAGGTCTCAACACAGCTTTACGCTAAATGCCTACACCGTATTGGAAGCGGCTGCTGGCCTCGGTGACTGCCACCAGGGCGGGCAGCACAGTAACGGGAGACCTGACCACAAAGATACGATTACCCCAAACTCGCTGTCACTCTACTACAAACATGGCGGACCATGCCGGAAGTGACGTTTAACGAAGCGTTCCACGCAGGTAGTGACGCAGTAGGAAGCGTGCCTCGCAAACCGGAAGTAGCGCTCTCTGCCAGCGCCTTGCCTGTCTGCCCGTGCTGGGAGTAAAGATGGCTGCCGAAGGGGATGTGGAATTGGAGCTGGAGACAGAGGAGAACTGCAGCGAGCGGCCGGCGGACAAACCCCGCAAACATGACAGCGGTGCGGCCGACCTGGAGCGGGTCACAGACTATGCAGAGGAGAAAGAGATTCAGAGCTCCAACCTGGAGACGGTGAGAGCCAGGCATGGGCCAGACACCGGGGGGAGAGAGACAGTCCATCATCTATTATTATTATTACTATTACTGCCTGTGCGAGAGACAGGAGGGGGGAGAGAGACAGTCCATCATCTATTATTATTACTATCATTACTGCCTGTGCGAGAGAGAGGAGGGCGGAGAGAGAGACAGTCCATCATCTATTATTATTATTACTATTACTGCCTGTGCGAGAGAGAGTGGTCAGACACCAGGGAGACAGAAGAGATACAGCTGGTTGTGGGACACAGGGATATAATTTATTATTATTATTACCTGTGCAGGAGAGGAGAGATACAGCTGGGATAGTCCATCATCTATTATTCTTATTACCTGGGCGAAAGAGTGGTCAGACACCAGGGAGACAGGAGAGATACAGCTGGGTGTGGGACACAGGGATAGTCCATAATTTATTATTATTACCACCTGTGCAGGAGAGAGTCTGCCTGCTGTGATAAAATCGTACCCATAATTAAAATAAATACATGGCTTTCACTGTATTGTTATTATGCAACAGCGTGTTTTCTTTTCACAGTCTTTATTTTATTTGTCGCCTGCAAAGACTCATACAAAGCAATGCATACAAGAGAATTGCAAAGACAGTGACAAAACAATGCCCGGATTAATCAGTCCCTTTTTATTTATTTTTTATATAAAGAATATAAGAAAAATAAGCCAAAAGTTATGAAGAAACCCATGGGAAATGTGACATCATGAGAAATTGAGCCAAAAATTATATAGAGTTCACTATGTAAATAAAAATAATCGATCAGATCTATAAACCGGGGGTATCCCTAAGATTCTTCAAAGTGAATAGGGAGAGGGATCTATAAAAAAAATGTATTTATATGAATTTTTTAAGACGTAGACAAATATAAGGTATCGGAGGTTCCCCAAGACATTTCAACACTGTCAGCACTGCAGAACAAGTGGTGTGAAAGTTAATGGGTCTCAAGAATTTTGCCTGTAAGGCTTGGGTATTGTCCCTGCATGTAGAGAGAGCCCAAAGGTCTGAAGAAATCCAGCCAAATCTGCCATTGTGGTGGGCTTTTGCTGGACCCTATTCACATCGGTCAGGAGGGTTCTCCAATGTAATAATTCCAGAGTCCCTCAGCAGCTTTATGATGTAGGAGAAGATTTGCAGGGTCAATCTGCAAGAAAGAAAGGTGAGTTGATGGTTTTCAAAGTGAAGTTTCTTGCCCCTCACTGCTGCCATTATAGTAATTTTATTTCCAACTCCTCGGAATCGTATGCACGTGTCTCAGGGAAACCTTGCAAGAGCTTTAGGTGTTTTAGGCAACCTAGAGATGCCATCTAAGTGAGTGCCATTTACCTGCTTCCGTGAAAGTAACTTTTTTGTTTTCTCCTTTCTTAGGCTATGTCAGTAATTGGAGACAGGAGGTCACGAGAACAGAAAGCAAAACAAGAAAGGTAATTTTCTTAATGTAATTCTCAGGGCTTGACACTGCAAGACTGTATTGTCCATGGAATACATTTTCAGTGGAAATTTTGAGTCCTGTTATTATTATGGTGCTGTCACAGTTATACTGCTGCCACAGATATATGTTAAACTGTTTTCAAGGCCATTTGTCTTGTGTCCACCGTCAGACCCTTCTTCACTTGTCACTAAAGTGTAGGTTCCTACTTTCTGTCCCTTTTTAGACTGAATTTATTAATTTGACTATTGGTACACTGACAATGAATTCATTTAGTATTTGGTCAAACTTGATATTACTAAAGCAGAAGGAGAATATCTGTAATATTTGTAAAGGGGGGTTGGACTTTGGGGTATATTGAGAAGGCATGTTCGTGTCAATCTGTTGAAAAACGTTTGACTATTGGCAAAGGAGGGTATTACGAGGAGACTTCTTGCACTGCGAATACTACAGCAATCTAACTTTTCCACAAGAAAAAGAGAGGAACCACAGAGAGCTTAGCTAAAACAGAGCCAGCAAATCCCCTGCATATAGTACATCCAACAAGAAGCTTCAGTCACTCACTCACTCACTGGGTTCATGTAAATGAGTTTTATTGGACAATCATGTGCAAAGCAACATTTCAACCTTATCACAGGTCTTTGCAAGCTAACACCACATATAATAATGCATCAGTATATAAAACAAAGCAATTGGTATCAATACTCACCCTATCTTTCCAATTGTGGCAGTGAATAGGAGCGTGGTGCCAAAAAGATAAGGAACAAACCTATCGATGATTCACAATAATCAATGCTTCTTCAAAAGATGAAACACATGATGCACAATGCCCCAAACAAAGCGCGCATGTGTGAGGCTAAGTAAAAAGGCGCCAATATCGCACAAGGGCAGATGTGTCACACCGAGTGCATGTGTACGGGAACATAAAGAGAAAAAATATAATAGGGAGATTGGTATCTCGTAGTAAATATCACTTCACCTAAAATAAGAAAAGACACAAAGTTAAAATGGAATTCATCACTGTGTATCAATTACAATAAAGTGCTTATAAACACCACAAATGGTAAATTTCCACATGTAATTAAGTGCCACACATAACACAAAGTGTGAGTTGTAATTCAGACTGAAGTGTATCCTGAAGAGAATAATAAAGGTGCAAAACATACATGAAAATGTCACAAATTCTCAGCTATAAAAAAAGTGCATATTGCATTATAACACATGACCTGCATCTTATGGTAAGTAAATACATGAAACTAGGATCTAAGAAAAGGCCTAATAAATATTAAGCAAGCATTAAGTGCCAATGTGTGCAATCATGAAAGCAAATTATAGAATGCCCTTTATTATAAACTTGTAAAAAAAAAAAACTACGACAGTGTCCATAACATGATCTTGTCCCACTCTTAGAATAAAATTACAAAACGATATGACAGATTTCTAAAACTTGGTTATCCCCCTTTATTTCTTGAGGGCAATTTAAACCAAATTCAAAGTGAATTTCAAATTTAAAGGGACACTATAGCCACCAGAACAACTACAGCTTATTGAATTTGTTCTGGTGAGTAGAATCATTACCTTCAGGCTTTTTGCTGTAAACACTGTCTTTTCAGAGTAAATGCAGTGTTTACATTACAGCCTTGTGATAACTTCACTGGCCACTCCTCAGATAGCTGTTAGAGATCCTTCCTGGGTTATGGCTGCCTAAAATGCATCCAAACATTCAGTGTCTCCTCCCTCTGCATGCAGACACTGAACTTTCTTCAAAGAGATTCATTGATTCAATTCATCTCTATGAGGAGATGATGATAGACCAGGGCTGTGTTTGAATCATGCTGGCTCTGCCCCTGATCTGCCTCCTTGTCAGTCTCAGCCAATCCTATGGGGAAGCATTGTGATTGGATCAGGCTACCACATCTGATGATGTCAGCAGACTGCTTGTTTTTTTTTTCAGAAGCAAATAGCATGCAGAGTTACAGTTTCAGACTTGAATACAGTAAGATTTTTGCTATATTTATGGAGGCATGAGGGGCCCAGGGGGGTTAAATGGTGGTTTTAACACTATAGGGTCAGGAATACATGTTTTTTCCTAACCCTATAGTGACCCTTTAAGGGCCAGATAGCCAAATGGGAAAAACGTCCCTGACAAGCTTTACTTCCATTTCCATCTCCCCACATCTAAAATATAATCAAATTTTAGCTTGCAACACTCTCTACTAATGGCAAACTGTAATGCAGGTTAGCATGTAAGACTTAGAAAAAAGAAAAAAACTACCATAAAGTGTCTCAACAACATAAGTATTGTCACAATTGGAAAAAGCGTTAAAATATAACTTTTTTTAATAAATATACTAAAATAAAGAGGTATATAAAAAATGAATAATAAAAACAAAAAGCACATGGCTAAATCGATGTCCTATAGCAGTGGTGGCGAACCTATGGCACGCGTGCCACAGGTGGCACGCCGAGCCCACTCTGTGGGCACGCGGCCATAGGTCGCCGGAGGGAGGGAGGGTGCGCTCCGCCGGCGCATCCATAAGGCGGCACAAGTGGCCGCCTTAGGGTGCACCGGCCCGGCGGGCGCAAAGCCGGAGTGACCGGCAGGAGGTGAGCGCAGAGCGCTCCCTCCTGCCAGGCACTCTGTGTAGCGTGGCCGAGCGCACCGCGGTACAGGAACTTATGTTTCCTGTACCCGGGCGGCCGGAAATGAAGTGCTCACAGAGCGAGCACTTCCTGTCCGCCGGGTACAGGAAACATAAGTTCCTGTACCGCGGTGCGCTCGGCCACGCCTAAGGTTGCAGGAGCCTGCTGAGGGGGACTGAGGAGGGTTGCGGGGAGGGGGGACTGAGGGAGAGCCATGGAGTGGGAGGGGGGGGAAACTGAGGGAGAGCCAAGTGGGGGAACTGAGGGGAGAGCCATGGGAGGGGGGAACTGGAGGAGAGCTAAGGGAGGGGGGGACTGAGGGAGAGCCAAGGGAGGGGGAGGAACTGAGGGAGACGCGAGGGGGGGAAACTGAGGAGAGCTAAGTGGGGAGAGGGGGAACTGAGGGGAGAGCCAAGGGGAGAGGGGGGGAAACTGAGGGAGAGCCATGGAGAGGGGGGACCTGAGTAGGAGAAAGATGGGGGGGACTGGAGGAGAGATGGGGGAAACTGAGGGAGAGAGATGGGGGCTAAACTGAGTGGGAGAGAGATGGGGGCTAAACTGAGTGGGAGAGAGATGGGGGGCTAAACTGAGTGGGAGAGAGATGGGGGGGACTGAGTGGGAGAGATATGGAGGGGGACCTGAGTGGGAGAGATGGGGGGAACTGAGGGAGAGATGGGGGGAACTGAGGGAGGTATAGGGGGAGAAAACTGAGTGTGGGACGGGGGGTGAGGGGGGACGACATACACACAGCACCCCTGCCCTACACATATCACCCCACACAAAGACACCCACACATCACCCTACCCACACATCACATCACCCCACCCACACACACAAACACATACAATGTACCCCTCAATGCAGTGTGTGTACACTCAGCAGTCTGTCTGTGTGTGTACACTCAGCAGTCTGTCTGTGTGTGTGTACACTCAGCAGTCTGTCTGTGTGTGTACACTCAACAGTCTGTCTGTGTGTGTACACTCAGCAGTCTGTCTGTGTGTGTACACTCAGCAGTCTGTCTGTGTGTGTACACTCAGCAGTCTGTCTGTGTGTGTACACTCAGCAGTCGGTCTGTGTGTGTACACTCAGCAGTCTGTGTGTGTGTGTACACTCAGCAGTCTGTGTGTGTGTACACTCAGCAGTCTGTGTGTGTGTACACACTCAGCAGTCTGTGTGTGTGTGTACACTCAGCAGTCTGTGTGTGTGTGTGTACACTCAGCAGTCTGTGTGTGTGTGTACACTCAGCAGTCTGTGTGTGTGTGTACACTCCAGCGGTCTGTGTGTGTACACTCAGCAGTCTGTGTGTGTGTACACTCAGCAGTCTGTGTGTGTGTGCACTCAGCAGTCTGTGTGTGTGTACACTCAGCAGTCTGTGTGTGTGTACACTCAGCAGTCTGTGTGTGTGTACACTCAGCAGTCTGTGTGTACACTCAGCAGTCTGTGTGTGTGTGTGTACACTCAGCTCTGTGTGTGTGTACACTCAGCTGTGTGTGTGTACACTCAGCTGTGTGTGTGTACACTCAGCAGTGTGTGTGTACACTCAGCAGTCTGTGTGTGTGTACACTCAGCAGTCTGCTAAGTACACAGACAGACAGACTGCTAAATACACACACAGAGATGTTAATTAGTTCGGACAACTGTATGAGTTGTTTTTTCGAAACTTAAACCTCAGTATTCAGGTTTAAATGCCGTTTTGGCACTTTGAGGGGAAAAAAATTGGCATGTATTACGGTTTGGGCACTCGGGCTCAAAAAGGTTCGCCATCACTGTCCTATAGACTGGCTAAGGCACTGTCCCTCCAATAGGGGAAATAGCAAGGAAAGTATCAGTAAAGATAGATGAGATACTTAGTAGTATAGAAATGTAACACTTTCTAAAAACAGTGTGGCTTAAATGATAGAGGAAAGTGTGCAGTGCTTGTATCTTCTAGACTCCCCCTGCACGACAGAGTCTGCTGGATATGGAAGGGATGTCTCTTGTGCTCAAATAGTTAAACAGCACACCAATATGGTTGTGAAAATGCTGCACTAGTGGTGAAGAGGCAGAGAATGCCTATGAATTAGGAGGTATAAGAGGCAGTAAACAGCTAGGATTTATGGTAACAATCGATAGAAATAAAGAAAACATTGAAAAATCTTAACGCTGGCTTTGATAAAGAATCTAAGTGCCTTTGAGGGCACCCCTTAGTAAATACCTATACTGCTTCACTTAAACCCCCCATATAGAAATAGTAGACAGAGTATAGGACTAAGGGAACGGATGCCTACATATAAAAGCAGGTTCACTGGTGAGATCACGGCTGTGTTAGTGCAACAGCAGAGGTATAACTAGCTAGGCATCCTAAGCCCCTAAATGTCTCTGGTACTCAAATGATTAAACAGCACACCCATATGATTGCAAAAATCCTGCACTAGTGGTGAAGAGTCAGAGGATGCCTGTGAATTAGGAGGTATAAGAGGCAGTAGACAGCTAGGATTTATGGTAGTAATCGGTAGACATATAGAGAATTGAAAAATTCTATCGCTGACTTTGGTAATGAGTCTAAGTGCCTTCGAGGTCACCCCTTAATAAATGCCTATACTGCTTAACTTAACCCCCCATAAAGAAATAGTGGACAGAGTATAGGACTAAGAACAAACGGATGCCTAAATATAGGAGCAGGTTCGCTGGTGAGATCGCAGCTGTATAAGTGCAGCAGCAAAGATATAGCTAGCTAGGCGTCCAGAGCCCCTGACGAACGCGTTTCGTCTGGGTTACTCATCAGAGGGGGCATTAGAAAATACATTTTGTTGTGCATGGCACTTTCACACAGGCAAATGTACTTTATAACTGCATTTCAGTTTTTTAATTAGTATCATAACTTTGCAACACACACAGACTTGTATCCAGTCTCCACACCCAGGTCACAGACCTTTACACATACATACATGGACACCTGATGTATCTCCTGGAGAAGAACTTGAATCATAAATTGAAGAACTTGAATCATAAAACCTAGATAAACTTTAATTTTGAGCCTAAACACTATCTAGAATAATTTCATGTAGATATTAACAAATTCTGCTGTTGTAATAACTCTTAAATCCTGCTAAACAAATATGCATATTTTTTTTTTTTTCCCCAAGAGAAAAGGAGCTTGCAAAGGTTACAATAAAAAAAGAAGACGTGGAGCTTATTGTGAGTGGATTTAATTTCTTTTATTTTGTCTGACCGTTTCTTAACAAAGCATTTTTTTAAAAACACATTTGGAGAATTGCAAATATCTTTCTAAATTTTTTTTTTTTTTTCTGCTGTTATTTTTGTTTTCAAACCATACCTGTGTATTACTTTATTTTAATTTTTTTTTTAAAGAACATTTCACACAATAGCATATCAAGAAAAATGCAGTAAAAGGAAAGCGTAAAATCCGGATCACAATTTAAAATGGAATGCAGTGTCCATAAGGACCGGAAGAAAGCATAACTAATACTCTATAAGAAAGGGCAGAGCTGTTATAGCTGACCAAGATGAAGCCTTTAAGGAGAGAGAAGGGAGGGCTGAAAGGCCGGTCACATTAGAAAGGAACAGAGTGAGGAAAATGGTTCATTGTATGCATTAGGGTTTTATCACCCCAAGTGTATAATTAAAAAAAAAAAAAAAACACAAACTGCACATAGGATGATTCCAAAATATGGAAGAAAATGAGTGAATCAGCTTAATATTAGTACGGTTTTAAGTGTGCAGTTTAAACATGGCAATAAAGTACAGACCACATAAGTGTACGGATAGACCAGACAAAAAATATATAGGATTAAGTCCAAACACCTGTCGAAAAGGGCGTGGGGTGGTGGGAAGACGACAAAAAGAAAAAAACAAATAGAAGCTAATGGGACACCAGATGTTTCGTATCCAACACAGGCGCTTTATCGACATTACTACCTGTCAATATTACCCCAAGGCCAAGTATATAAACCAAGATAGATAAGGAAGAGTTATTGTATAACAAGTGTTTTTTGACGGCCTCATCAGTAAATTAGTTTTTTTGTTTTTTCTTGTCTTATTTTACAGATGAATGAGATGGAGATTCCGCGAACAGCAGCAGAAAGGAGCTTACGGGAACACATGGGAAATGTTGTTGAGGCACTGATTGCTCTTACAAACTGATTATGGATTTTTTTTTTTATTTTAAATAAAATTGTCTTGCCATGTTTTGAAAGGAGCTTTAAAGTGCAAGCTGGGGGAGCTCTCTGAACCAGTGTTCGTGGCTGCGGACTTAACCTTAGGCCATGGTGGTTTAGAACATCTGTGCTGTTTTCCTTGTAGTGTAAGATGCTGTGGGTATTAAAGGAACACACCAAGCTGTACCAATATATGCCAAAATTAACATGTGTTCTAATTTATTAGGAATAAACACCATCTTTGCTTAAATTTTGCATTGTCTATGTTGTTAATGTCCCCTGTCATTATAAAGAACAATTTGAGGTTCTAGATAAACCTGAGTCAGGCTATAACACATGGTAAATCACTGAAATTTTGTAACAAAGGTTATGTCATGCATGCAAAGTGTTTCAGTTATTAGTTGTTTTAGCTTTTGGTCTAAATAATTACCTGTATGTTTGCATGCTCAATTATATAGTTGTAATCACAATTATCCAACCCCCATTGAAAATCAGGTCTATTGTCAAAATGTACAGACTTTCAGCTGTTTACAATGAACAAATCTAACAAAAGCAATTTAAAAAGCTCAACAAAACAAAAGCTTCAATTGGTTTCCACAAATTCAACGGAAAATGCAACTTATGACTTCTCTAGTCTCAAAATTATTCAATCTTCTCGCACACTTGATGCAACTAATCAAGGGCCTTTGTTGCACTACGTGTGCCTGAGCTGGAACACTTTAAATACCTGGACTGGCTTGGAATTTAAGTGTAACGTTTGACTGCATATTAGAAATATGGCTAAGTCAAAAGAGTAGTCCACAATGTTAAGAGAAGAGATCATGGCCCTTCACAAACCAAGAACAGGATCCAAAAATATAGCGAAGGTACTGAATGTTCCTAAAGACATAGTTGGAAGCATCGTTTGTAAGTTCAAAGTTGAAGGAAAAGTGGTTACATTACCTGGACGGGGCAGAAAAAGGAAGCTATCAATGACTGCAACCAGATTTCTGAGAAGGCAGGTTGTTAAAAACCCTCAAGTGACTGCAAAGACCTGCAGCAACACTTGGTGGCAAAAGACACTGAGGTTTCAGTGAGCACAGTAAGGCGTGCACTAAACGTCAAAGGTTTCCATGCTATAACTCCAAAACATACTGCACTGCTGACCCAAAACCACAAGAAAAATTAGCTCCAATATGCTTAAAATCCTATAAATAAACCACAGATTTTGAATTCTGTTCGTGGAGCGATGAAACAAAACTGGAACTTTTCAGCCCAATGGATCCACGGTATGTTTGGAGGAAGAATGAAGCATGTGCTGAAAAGAACACTGCCTACAGTTGAACATAATGGTGGCGGCTTGGTGCTGCTACGGAGCGCTTTGCATCCTCTGGCACTGGAAACCTGCTGCGTGTGGAAGATGGATTAGTTGAAGTATCAGGAATTCATAGGAGAAAACATGCTGTCTGTAAGGAAGCTGAAGCTTGGGCATTATTGGACTTTCCAACAAGACAATGATCCAAAGCTTGGTTGCAGAAGTAGTACTGGAAAATTCTACAGTAGCCATCACAGTCACCTGATTTGAACACAATAGAAAATCTCTGGTGGGATTTAAAGGAGGCGGCTACAGCATGCAAACCCAAGAATATTACTGAACTGGAGGCCATTGCTCATGAGCAATGGGCTAAGATTCCTCATAACTACTGCCAGAAGCTGGTGGCTGGTTATACATCTTGTTTGCAGCAGGTCATCACAACGAGATGGGGTTGAATAATTTTTAAACTGGAAAAGTCACATGTGGTATTTGGGGAAATCACATTTGTTGTATTGAGCTATTCCAATTGCTTTAGTTTGATTTGGTCATTGCAAATAGCTGAAAGTCTGTACATTTTGACAATAAACCTGATTTTCAATTGGGGTGGAATCATTTTGATTACAACCTTATGTAGTATTAGAAAGTTGTACTGTATTCCATATCTTATTCCTGTCTTCTCTGCTCCACATCTCATTTTATTTGCTTCTAATCCTGGCTAACAGTAGGGGATGTGCTACCTTCAGTTGTATGAGTAGCCTCTATAATAAAATATGCAAATTATTAGATGTAACCCCACCCCATTATACCTTAAATACCAGCACTTGATACTGCAGCCCCAGTTCTTACTTGATTCGACATGTCTTGTCTTCTGATCTTGGTCTGGTACAGTGCACCGTGCACAGACGCCATGATCATGCAGTCATGGAGTCTGTGCACAGCAATAGAATGCGTGCCCAGGCTGAGTTTGCGTTCCACCTGGTTTAGAAATTGGAATTCCGCTTTCTGGCATGAAATTTAAAGAGCCTATTTAAGCTTTGAACACCTGTCCGACATCAAGGTATGCCATATCACCAGCCCTCCACACACGGTACTGAGGTCTTTGAGGTAATTAATAATCTTTTCTTTTACGTTAAAGGCTTCATGGCTATCTTCATATTGTCATAGAGTTCTGTTATGTTTTACAAATGTCTAATCTAGCCTGTAGTGAGCGTACTACCCATCTGTCAGACAGCTGTAAGAAAAAGACATGTAACCAGTGCTCGTCCAAAGCATTAGAGAAGGCTAAGAAAAAGGAGATGCAGACATTTCTCAGCTGGTTCAAGGAGGATCTCTCCCAAACCTTGAGTCATTGAAAGAAACTGCACTCAAGTCCAGAGATTCTGCCTCTGTCCGTGAAAGAATTAGTCAGTGAAGGAAAAGGCAGAGGTCTTCTTCACCTTTTGATTTGTCCCATTCCTCTTGGTCAAAAGCTTCTAGTCATGAGTCTTTCTCTGATGTAGTTTATCCAGCGGAGCAATTAAACAAATTTGTTAAAGTGTTGGTTGTTATGGTGGGAAGGTGAGATGCTGCAGAATATAAGGGAAAGGCTTCTCAGTGCATCCACGATTCTTGAGCATTATCGATCAAGAATGGAAAAATCTAAAGAAAAAAACCTATTTCGAAACATTACAAGATTCAGAAAACTGGGATGAATTGACAAACATGGATGCAAAGGTCGCACAGTTATAAAAACACCATTCCCATTGGAGAAGTGGCTGGTCTCAAGGATCCCATGGACAAGCGAGCAGAGACTTCTTGCAGGAGAACTGTTCAAGCTGAAGCCTTCTAGAGTAAGGCCAGCATTGCTGGAGCATCAGTAGCTAGAGCTCAGAGTGTTACAATATCTGGAAGATTGTCTTTTAGAAGGAACAGACTAAGAGTTTAATCATCTGCAAAAAAAAAATGAAAAATCATCAGAATGGCAAACTAAATCTTTTTGTGACATGACAGAAGAGGTTTTGAAACTGTCAGCCTGGATCATGGGGTTTTCATCTGTTGCCAGACAAGCGATCTGTCTGAAATCCTGGACTGCAGAAACCGCGCTACTAAAGTGGCTTTATGTGAGCTTCCATTTGAAAGGCACAAATTGTTTGGTTCTCCACAAGAAGAACTGATTAAGCAGATGTCCGATCTAAAGAAAAAAAAGCACTCCCTCAAGATAAGAGAAGAAGATGGAAAATATATTTTTTTCCTGCACACAAAGATCATACCAATTATAGTGATCCGTGTCGCAGCTTCTGCAGAAAACAGCAGGATACGAAGCTCGGTCAGAAGCAGTCTCATAACAGGCAAGATAAAAGAAGAATGGGAGGAAAATTACAAGCGTGCAATGGGAACAGACAACGCAAAACCCTTGAGTGTTGGACACCATGAGAAATTAAAGGGATTCTCCAGTGCCAGGAAAACAAAAGCACTGCAGGACCCTCTAGTGCCCCTCTCTCTCCCACCCCCCATCCCAAGGTGCTGAATGGGTTACAACCCCATTAGTAACTTACCGGTGTCCAGTGCCGATGTCCTTCGGCGCTGGGTCAGGCTCCGCCTACTCTCCTCCCTCACCGACGGCAGCTGGCGGGGGAGACCTAATGCGCATGCGCGGCAATGGCCGCGCATGCGCATATGACCTCCCCATAGGAAAGCATTAAACATCCATCGTCGGTTTAAAACACTTTTTGTATACTATGAACATGGAAGTCCCTCTAGTGGCTGTCTAGTAGACAGCCACTAGAGGAGGACTTAACCCTGCAATGTAAATATTGCCGTTTATGAAAACTGCAATATTTACACTTGCAGGGTTAAGGGTAGTGGGAGTCTGCACCCAGACCACTCCAATGGGCAGAAGTGGTCTGGGTGCCTGGAGTATCCCTTTAATACAAAGTAAGACTTCTAGGAGTGCCTTTTTCCCAGCTCCTCTCCTCTCAAGTAAAGCCATATGCTCTTCTAACCGAATCTCTGGTTGTTCTCCGAAAAGGAGTCATAGAAAAATTCCCAAGTAGGAGCAATTTCAGGTGCCAATTCAAGACTCTTCCTAGTATTGAAACAAGACAATTTCTTTTGTCTGGTCCTGGATTTGAAGACTGTGACCGCGGTCACCCACATGAGGGGATTATCTGGCCAACTTAGATTTAAAGGATGCCTATCTTCACATCAGTATAGCATTGAATTTAAGGAAATATCTGAGATTTGTAATCTAATCAGAACAGTTTTGCACTTCCAATTCAAAGCTTTCCCTTTCAAACTCTCCACCACTCCAGGAATCATTACCAAACTTCTACTTCCTTTAACAGCAGGTCTTCTAGAAAAAGGTATTTCAGTCGTTCCCTATTTATATGATTAGCTTCTAAAAGCCAATTTGAGTCTGCAACCGCGAAGAAACATCCGGAACATGGCTGGTAAACTGGGAAAAAAAATCACATCATTCCCTCCACAAGCATCATCTTTTAGGTCTAGAAGTAGACTCCATGTCAGAAGATAAGATAGAGAAAAAAATAAGTTTGTGCTCTGCGAACCCGTTCAACCTGTTCTATGAGAGAGGCAATGAGCACACTGTGAATTCTCACACTGTGTACTTCAGCAGTGAAGTAGGCCAGAGCATGAATGAGACCCGTTCAATGGGAAATTCTTGGTCCAGAGAATAGGAAGATTTGGACATAGAGTACACCATATCCGCAAAAGGTAGGAAACAAGCGGAAATGGTGGATTCATTCAGATTTCCTTAGTCTAGGCTTACAGTTAAAACAGATTCTTCAAAAACTGGTTGGGGCGCTCACCTAAATGCCGTATATAGGCAAGGCAGGTGGACTTCAGAAGAGGCAAAGCATCCCTCCAACTTCAGGGAACTAAAGGCAGTTCTGGAGATTCTACTTTCTTTCCAGCTATGGATCACAGGAAGAATTCAATCAGACATCAATTGTCACCTACCAGTACAAACAAGGAAGTATAAGAGTAGCTTTTCTGTCCCTCCTCTGTGCACAGATCATATCATGGTCATAAAAAAGACTAGTAGCCATTTCAGCTATTCACATCAGAGGAGCAGACAACATTATAGCAGATGATCTGAGCAGGGTATAGTGGATGCAAACAGACTGGCTGCTAGATTTAAAAATGTTGGGCAGAATCACAAAGAAGCTTGGCCAAACAGTAATTAATCTCATGGCAACAAGGCTGAACAGGAAAGTATCATCTTTTGCTTCCCTATCCCGGACAGATCAGCCGTATTATATAGATGGCCTATCTATCACCTGGGACCTCAGCCTAGTATAAATTTTCTCTCTAGTCTCGTTAATTCCACATATTCTACAGAAAATAAGATCAGACAAAGCAACTGTGAACTAAAGTTGTATTTTGGAACTGAGACTAATGGCCCAGCTAATGGAAACACTTTGAATGTTCAGATTGATGGTATGGCTGCTGCCAGGTTAATCCTCAGGAATCAAGAGGTGGAGAAACATACACTGGATCTCCTGCTCAATTCAACCCGAAAATCGACCTCTAAGACCTACTTAAGAATCTGGTAAAAGTTTCTTGTCAGGCGCAATGAACATGGCTGCTTTCGTTTATCTCCACCGATTCAAGTTATCCTTGGTTTTCTTCAAAATTCTTTTTCTGCAGGTTTCAGTGTGCGGAAGGAGTTATAACAACTTCAATAAAAAGTTGGACACAGCTTATTGAATTTGTTCTGATGAGTAGAATCATTACCTTCAGGCTTTTTGCTGTAAACACTGTCTTTTCAGAGAAAATGCAGTGTTTACATCACAGCCTAGTGATAACTTCACTGGCCACTCCTCAGATAGCTGTTAGAGATCCTTCCTGGGTCATGGCTGCCTAAAATGCATCCAAACATCCAGTATCTCCTCCCTTTGCATGCAGACACTGAACTTTCCTCATAGAGATTCATTGATTCAATTAATCTCTATGAGGAGATGCTGATTGGCCAGGGCTGTGTTTGAATTGTGCTGGCTCTGCCCCAGCCAATCCTATAGGGAAGCATTGTGATTGGATCAGGCCACCACTTCTGATGAGGTCAGCAGACTGCTTGTTTGTTTGTTTTTTTGAGGCAAACAGCATGCAGAGTTACAGCTTCAGGCTTGAATACATAAGAGCTTGCTATATTTATGGAGGAATGAGGGGACCAGGGGGGCTAGATGGTGGTTTTAACACTATAGGGTCAGGAATACAGGTTTGTGTTCCTGACCCTATAGTGATCCTTTAATGAAGCAGTGTATAGATCATTCCACTGCAGTCTCACTGCTCAATTAACGGTCATTTAGGAGTTAGATCACTTTTGTTTCTGTTTATGCAGCTCAGCTCCCCTGGCCATAACTCACACAGCATACATGAAAAAGTTAATTTAAACATTAGATCTCTCTTTACAGGAAGTCATATCCATGGAGGTGTGACTAGTGATGTTTGAACAAAGTAAATTAACTCCTAAATGGCAGAGAATTTAGCAACTGAGACAGCATATTCATGATCTATATACCAGAACTGCTTCATTAAAGTTCTAGCATGCTATTAATGGGCAGGTGATGAAACCATTTTTTTAATGTAAGCTGTGCCAGTCACAGCCAGGGGAGGTGTGGCTAGGGATTCATAAACCGAAACGAAAGTGATTTAACACCTAAATGGCAGATGATTGAGCAGTGAGACTTCAGGGGTATGATAGATACCAACACTCATTAATTAAGCTAAAGTTGTTCTGGCGACTATACTGTCCCTTTAGGTTAAATTTGTTTTGGTGCCTATACTGCCCCTAAATGGTAAATTGAGGCCTAGTTCTGCTTTATGTGTCAGCATACCAAGGTTTAAGTTTATGTTGCCAGAAAACAGGTTTTTAACCCTGGCTGGAGCATTCAGTACAAGTGTAAATTAAAAAAAATATAAAGTGTGTTTTCCTTTACTGCATGATATGCATTTATAGAATTCATAAATGCATTCAATAAGAATTTGATCTTGTTAAATATATGCCAAAATCAGTCCATTTAAAGGGACACTCCAGGCAGCTGGACAAGTTAAAGGGACACTCCAGGCACCCAGACCACTTCTGCTCATTATCAGACAGCCACTAGAGGGACTTCCGTATTCTTAGAACGCGAAAAGTATTTTAAAAGACGCTGGACATCATCACGCGATGCATGAGGACCTCCAGCATCGCCGGAATCCCCATAGGAAAGCATTGAATAATGGTTTCCTTTAAGGGGGTCAAATGCACGCGCATTAGGTCTCCCCCGCCGGCTGACATCGGCAGGGGAGGAGCGTTGGTGGAGCCTGAACCAGCGCCGAGGGACATCGGTGCTAGGTTCAGGTAAGTCCTTTTGCAGCCAATGAAAATAGACGCAGTAAGGAATGCTCACAGCACTGCAGCTAGAGTCCATATGTGCTCCTCTCCCTCCCTCCTTGTAATGCAAGGAATACATTCTCCTCCAGTCCCCATCAGCCAGCCTCCCTATCCAGTGTCAGATATGCAATTTTTTTAACCTATAAAGTTCCTTTAATAAATGGAAAAATCTACAAATTGGCTACATGTTGCAGAGGGCATTTTGCTACAATTTACTAATCCAATTTTCTTGAGTAAAACAAAAAAAAACCCCACCAAAACTATATGACTTGCATTTTCACTTCAGTGTGCTCTGCAAAGTTTAGGAGAGCTAACAGAAGTGTGTAGAGATTTGTTTTGCTGGATTTTTCCCATACATTTTTGGTTATAATTGGAGTACCTTATGTTGAACTGTGGAGCAAAGAGTCTAAAAATGTGTGCGATCTATTTTAATCATTACGTTGCATTTCATAAATCATGTCTTAATCTCTGTGATACAACACAACTCACAAATGTAAAGCAACTATATAGAAAGACTCCAAGAATCTGTTTGTTTATTTTCACACAAAGAAATATAACTACAGTTTTATTTACAGTCCTGTCCACATCACTTGTTATCGGAAATGTTGAATGGGTATGAAAAGTAAAACCAAAAATCCCCAAAATTAAGACACAATGGAGAAGGTCAGAACCATTGTCTGACAGATCCAAATTGAAAGGACAGCTATCTCGGTAATTGCTAAATATTTACACTATTCCAATACAAGAATTGGTCCATGGTGTTTATACAAAAAAAAAAAAAAAAATCTATTTCACCACTCATAATCCTTTAATGGGTGCGAATAGGGTACCAAATAAAGTGCATAGCTTTAGTCCTTATGTAGTTTTCCTTTTCTTTACTGTTGGCCTCTCAAACACATCCCGAACGCCGGCTGCCTTATGCTTGAAAAATTTTGTATTCTGAGCACTCTCCTGGCCCCAGGCAGAATCAAAGGAAGTTGTATCTTGGTCAACCAAATGAGTATATTTTGTTCGGCCAGAACGACCAAAGTTTTTGACCTGAAAATACACAATATTTTATTTATTTATTTGTATAACTTAGCAAAGGGCAAAAAAACCAACCAAATAATAACTACTGGGTAAGAATGCATACAAAATAAAATATACAGTACCTGCATGACTTTTGGAAGGATGGTTTTATTGAAGTGGTCTTCCAGGGTTGGTGCGCTGAAGTCTCTTTTATATACATCCTCATCTTCATCCTAAGAAGAAGAAAACAAAATCAATACACAAACCAGCTTCTTAAAATAGTGTTTAATCAGCAAGCCTACAAAACAGTCCAGCATCTACAGTATGTAAGCGAAGAATAAAGTGCATAAATTCTTACCATGAAGAAAGCTCCTCTGTGGTAGTATTTTTGCAGGAACTTGTATTTTCCTTTCAATGCCTTGTTGGTAATTATCTTGCCATTTGCTCGCAGCTCTGCTCTGCGCTCTTCCTCTGTCATATTGCGCATGCGTTCAATTTCAGCCTTCTCTTTCTCCATCCTATCCATTCGGAAAAAAAGAAAATGCATAATGAATGTGTGCTTCTTATTGACAATATAATGCATTGTATATTTTTAAAAGTAAAACTGAAGTAAGCAAAGGAATTCAGCTTGTAGATAAAGGAAGTAAAGAGATGCAACATTTGGAAAAATTCTTTGGTGGTTATGTATAAAACCTTTTTCCATTTAACACAGTGTTACCCATAGTCACCATGGAATGTTTTAGTTGACTCTAATGGTTTCCAGTGTGTATGCTCTAGTAATGCACTTTAATTTGTTTAAAACGTTTTCCTGGCATGATAGTTTTCCTTTAACGTACAAATTTCTCTCTATCCAAATAGCTAGAATTAATCATATGGGGATCATAAAAGCAATGTAAGGGGGTGAGGGTTTATTATTCACAGAATGCATGAAATCACTACAAGGTAGTGAAAACAGGCACAGACAAGAAATATCTGAAAATCTGTGCTGCAGTTAATGAACAAGAGTCCAATCTTACCAATCCATACAGGTATGGTTTACATAAAATGTTACACACAAATATAAACAGCTAATATACTTACGCTTCTCTTTCTTCACGATCACGTTTTATGCGTTTCAGCTCTCGTACTTTCCAAGCTTCATATTCCTCCTCATCATTTTCATCATCTGTGTTTAGAGCATCGAGTGCTGCCAGGGATCGCTTGTTCTCTTCAATCTCTTTCTTTGTCTCTTCTTCTACAATCTGTAAACCATGAAAAAAGTGAAGTCAGCCGGGATAACACCAAATTAACGCTAGCAATTTAATTGTCTTTGTACACGACCAATCGTCCATTTACCTTTAATGTGTATTTGCGTCGTTCCTCTGCCATACGTTTTGCTTCTACTTCTGCCTCTTTCTGTTTAATTGCTTCGACCTCCCTTTCCTGAACAGTTACTCTGTCCTTTCTGCAATGGTAGTGGATGGAAACTCCATTAAGTACACATATTAGTAGTAAGTGAAATGTTAGTTTTTAACATATATGCTCCCAACTATAAAAGCTTTAATCTTCTCTGAATTAAAACATTTGTGTTCCTGTTAACCATTTTAACTCATGAACGGTCAACAGACCAAGTGTAGTATACGCTCCGTTTAATATTTTAATCTATTGGTGTCAGAGATGGATGAGAATGAGATCCTTTAGTATGTTACTAAATGGCACTGTCACTGTCTGGTGAATTTGCATAATTTGCAAAGTCCCCGACATTCTTTTCCGGCTGGTCCTCTTCTGCTCTTCAGCTGCCAATGTCTCGTGAGATCCTCCATAGATAATGCCAATTTCCCAACAGCCATCACTAGTGACAACTGGAGGATTGATGCTTCTTGACGATGGTAGCACCACCCTGTACCAAGAAGTCTCAGGCGTAGGAAAAATTCTGAGACAAAGTCATCCCTAGTATGTCTCAGAATATCTTTTGACTGGGCTGGAATTTCAGTGAATGAGTATTTCAGAAAGATTTGACAGTGATCAATAGTGCAAGATATTTTTATACACTTAAAAGTGAATGCTTAAAGTATTAAAGTAATTTCATCCCAATATCCCAAAGATCTTTTGTACAGCTGGCTGTACAATAGGGCTGGCATGTACGGAGTTGCAAGGAAGAGAGAGGCTAAACTCTCCTGGCTCGGCTTTTTCAAAAAGTGGTCTAGTGAGCATAAAATAAAATAGTAAACAAAAAAAGAGAGCTTTAACCAGGAATACTAAAAATGTGTGGACCTTGAAATTGTTCCCATATACATTAAATACGTAATCAATATAAAACAAAGATTCTTGGCCACTCTTCCTTTGTTCCAACACTGCCATCTTCATGCTTCATGGGGGTTTCTTTGTTTCAACACCAACCTCCAGGCCGTCCTGCACTCCACCTCTGTTCTTCTTTGACAAATCTCGTCAGTGACGTCAGCAGTGTCAGAACAGGATGTCACATCACTCTGTTCCTTTATGCCATAGCCAGCGGCAGAAGCACAGTCTTGGGAATTTTCATAGCAACCACAGCGAGTGTGCTGTAGGTGCTATGGGAAGAGAGCAGAAGGAGCTCCTATGGGGATTGACCAACAGTTATGAGAAAAACCTATTTTTTAGAAGGTTTTTCTCTTAATCTATACATTTGTGAACACAATGTATACACAAAATTGTATGCACAATCTAGGGATCATAAGTTGTTTGGGACATGACAGGTTCATTTTAATGAGAGTTTTGCCTCTCATAATATAAAGTGTTTTTTATGATACTCTCCAGAATATAATTTATTCTATTCTCTCAGGTTCACCGATCACAAACATTTTCAATATAGAAAGTATTTCAACTAACAGTTAACACTCTCACATAAATGTAATTTCCCACTTATTACAGTGACATTTATCCACTTACTTGCGAATAAACACAGGTTTGAGCCTTGGTTCCATTTCATCCTCACTGTCTGTGTATTCTTCATATTCTGATTCAGATTCTGATTCTTCCCCAGATTTCCCCTCATCTTCTACTTCTAATACTTCCATTTCCTCATTCTTCCTCTCCTCAGCTCTTTGACGCATGAGAATACGTCGACGTTCAATTTCCTAAAAAAAAAATGGAATACATGATTAAGAAAGAAAAGTTACAAGGAATGTTCTCTCTGGTAAGGGGGTACATATTAGTCAATGACTGCTTTCAGAATATCTTTAAAACTATACCATAATATCAGTGTAAGAGGAGCCCATTTATTACCTCAAACATCATCTCCCAGCTTATGACCTCCTCTATGAATTTGCCAGAGTAAAATATAAGATATTCTCTCTTATTCCATACAAACAAGCCAAAATAATTACACACACACACACACCCCAAAATTCCGATCAAACATGGAACTGTGCTTCCCTGTCTTAACATTTACAAATACTTATATGCCAATAATGCAGAAATCACTGGAACATTCTACAAATTACCAAAGTGAACATAGAATTGGATTATCATTTACCTCATCATCTATCTCTTCTTCCTCCTCCTCACTGGTGTCCTCCACACGATCTACATGCCACTCTTCTCCTGGTTCAGACTCAGACTCACTTTCTCCAATCACCTCCGGCTCCACAATCTTACGATGTCTGGCCAACCTGTACAGAAAAATAATTTCAAGTAAGAAACTAATGTAACTAAAAACAGAACAAGTAAAATTACAGAGGGAAGCAGTTGTAGTTTAAATGTTTGTTGGATTTGTGGTATTTCAAGCAGTAAGTGGGTTTTTCTATCGAGAAATTTACCTTTCCTCCACACCTTCATTCATTCGATTCTGTAAACGGCGCAAGCGGGGATCACTGGTACTTTCTTCTGGTTGTTCCTCAACCTCAATTTCCTGCTCCTTTCCCTTCTTAATGAACTGGAATTCCTCCTCTTCTTCATCAGAGGACTCCATTGGGGCATAGTCAGGTCTTTTACCAGAGACATATCGCTTCACCTTCACCTTTTCCATCGATATTTCACCTGGAAGGTTAATTTATTCATAGCCATTATTTACTATTTATCTGGTGACATAGGTAGATTTCAACTAGATCTCGCGCTCTCTCTCTCATATATATATATATATATATATATATATATATATATAAAACTAAGATTAAAATTGAGAACACACCTGTAACACCTAGACTTGCAACACCTGTAGTGCAGTAACAGCCCTTCTGTCAACCGCTTGGTTATCATAAATATTGTAAATAACGGTCACAGAGCTGTGTGATAACAGACTTGGTACACAGTATACTGTAGCTAGGTGTGTGATATCTGCCACAAATACATTTTCTTTTTTTCTTTACACTTATATTTGAAAACAGCATGTCATTGAAATTGTTGCTGCTCAAACTGCTGACGTAACACAAATGTAAAAACCTTTACAATGCAATAAGGTTGAGACGATGTTAGAGTTTCAGATCTTGACTTCAATCACTACAATCGTTAGGTTGGATATGACCAGTATCAATTATGTAAGAGTATACAAGGGTCACATTATGCAATGCTTACCATAGCGAGAAATTATTTAGACCTTTTTTCAGCACACAAGAAAAATAAATTGTAAATTTTGTCAAACCAGTTTCAGCACTGAAGTATGGGCCATCTGTTACAACTTGAATTATGGGGATGTTTCACTTCAGCATTAACATGTGATGCACGTCCCTTTAAAGCGGCTCTGTCACAAATTAAGTTGCAGGCCCCGAACCCGTGGAATCCTCCCTACAGGCCCCTTCCACAATTTCTGGCCATGGAACTGGTGTAACTTAACTTTTCCAATGTTGCGTCAGTCCCTTCACAATGCTGCCAATATTTGCAGGTGATGGATTTTTTATATTCACTTAACACACCAAGATGTATAATTTATTTATGTATTGTGTATATATGTATTTTACACATTATTCACTTAGTATTCATCATTTAGACCAAAATAATATGCCCTCACTTTTATTGGTGTACATATATCTTTAAATATTTTAATATATGAAATTAATTAAATATGACATGATAAATTTTTATTGGTTAACAATGTGAGTACTGTGGAGTGTAAGTGATTATGCCCTTTTTCTTTTGTCTGAATATATTAATTTATGTCAATTAAATGTAATGGTTTCATTTATTGGAGCACTTTTTTGTTAAGCACCATACTTATAGGTCATGTTTGTAACACTGTATTAGCTTGACAAAGACCCTGCTGGGTCGAAACGTTGCTGTTATTTTGCTCTAAATAAATCTGCTATTTTGGCTTTTATCCTTGAGTGCCTGGATCAATATTTATTCTCTATATCTGGAAGTGAGACCTGGCCTTCCTCAGGTCTTGAGCACCCTGGCGAGTGCGGTATCCATTATCTTTTCTTTACCGGTCGTGAGCATGACATGGTTCCTCACTCACAAGGCTTCCAATGGACCCGTGTTGACTCTTGCAATTGTGTTAGATTATTAAAGTGGTTAGGGTGCCAGGGTACCAACAGAGAGCCAGGGAAAATCTTTGAACTTGCAGGCACTGCCCCTTAGGAACTAGTGCTTGCAAGACCATCCATGTCAGCAAGAACATACCCAATCATTGGTATGAGAGTCAGGAAGTGTCATTCTCTCTCAGACTGACAGGGCTTTAAGGTGGAACTATGGATTTCACTTTCAAGTCTTATTTTATCAGTTTAAAGGAACACCCCAAATGCCATAACCACTACAATGGACATAACCACCTCAATGTGCTTAGGAGCTTTCATTAGCTCTCCTGTACTAAGCTCCGCAGTCCAGGGCTAGCTCGTTAGCTCAATGTCAGCTGCACAGCAGGACTTCACTCCGACAGAAAGCTCCTGGCTCACCGTAGGCTATAGTGGAGATAGGGAGTGGTGCCCGGCAGAGGCCAGTTAAGAAGGTAATCCACTCTACAATGGTTTGACTACATACACAGGGGTGTCGCCTGATCCCTCCTGGCACCATAACCACTACAGTGTGGGGAAGTGGTTATTATGCTTGATGTGTTCCATTAACAAATTAGTCAAATGACGCCATAAACACCCCAATAAGCTGAAGAAGGTACCGTATATACTCGAGTATAAGTGGACCCGAATATAAGTCGATACCCCTAATTTTACCCCCCAAAAACTGGGAAAACTTATCGACTCAAGACTAGGTTGGGAAATGCAGCAGCTACTGGTAAATTTCTAAATAAAATAAGATCCCCAAAAAATTCTATTAATTGAATATTTATTTACAGTGTGTGTATATAATGAATGCAGTGTTTGTATAAATACAGTGTGTGTGTGCATGTATGAATACAGTGTGTGTGTGTATGAATACAGTGTGTGTGTGTATGAATACAGTGTGTGTATGTGATGCAGAGCCTTGGTGGTGGGGGGGACATTTTTATTTTTTAAAATATTATTATTATTTTTTATATTATTAAATATTTTTATTTTATTTTAATAGTATTTACATTTTTATTTATTTATTTTCGTCCCCCCTCCCTGCTTGTTAGCTGGCCTGGTGGTCCAGTGGCATGGGCTGTGAAGGAGGGGGGCTGGCAGCGAGCTGTTACTTACCATTACTGCAGCTCCTGTCAGCTCTCCTGTAAGCTCCCACTGTAAGTCTCGTGGTGTGACTGCCGCGCGGAGTGTTACCATGTTAACCCGTGGCAACGCTCTGACCCCGTGGCTCTCGCGAGATTTACAGTGGAGATGACTGGAACGCAGGAGAAGGGAGCTGACAGGACCTGCAGGAAAGGTAAGTTACAGCTTGCTGCCAGCCCCCAACAGGACCGCCGGGCTTGTAACGAGCCCGGCGGTCCTGGCTCTATTACGGCAATGTAAGTTGCCTTAATACAGACAGTGACTCAAGTATAAGTCGAGTGGGGGTTTTTCAGCACAAAAAATGTGCCTCGAGTATATACGGTATAATACCTAGAGTGTTCCTTTATACTTGCCTTGTAATGTATATGATGTTTAACCCTCAGAGAACTTTTTAAAAGCCAACCACGATTGGATGGAATATACATGGATAATTCTGATTTTCCACTTTATCAGTGTGGGTGTAGGGAGTATGGTCAATCAGTATTGGGGAGAGCCTGTTTTTTGCTATATCTTACCATACACTACGTCAATAAAAAACACAAACAGGGATAGGCAACCTTTTGCACTCCAGAAGTTGTGGACTACATCTCCCATAATGCTCTTACAGCCATAATGCTGGAAAAGCATCATAGGAGATGTGGAGGTTTGTCCATCCCTGGTATAGACTCATTGCACCATCCTATATCGGCTACTCAGAGCTGTAGTGGTTATGTTAGAGTATCTCTAGGAGAGCCTGTCCTGTTTATATTATTATTATATATGTTAGAGTGTGTCTATGAGAGCCTGTCCTGTTTATATTATTATTATATATGTTAGAGTGTGTCTATGAGAGCCTGTCCTGTTTATATTATTATTATATATGTTAGAGTGTGTCTATGAGAGCCTGTCCTGTTTATATTATTATTATATATGTTAGAGTGTGTCTATGAGAGCCTGTCCTGTTTATATTATTATTATATATGTTAGAGTGTGTCTATGAGAGCCTGTCCTGTTTATATTATTATTATATATGTTAGAGTGTGTCTATGAGAGCCTGTCTTGTTTATATTATTATTATATATGTTAGAGTGTGTCTATGAGAGCCTGTCCTGTTTATATTATTATTATATATGTTAGAGTGTGTCTATGAGAGCCTGTCTATATTATTACTATATATTATTATTACTATATATTATTATAACTATATATTATTATTTTTATATATTTCGATCCAGGCCTTGGCTGAGGCCTAGTACCCAGTCCCACCCCCAGCTCTCTCTCTCCCCCCCCCCACCCGTCCGGCCCTTCTTACCTTTCTCATTTCGGACAGGCACGGCCCCGGCCGTGGACTGGATAGGGGGCTGCTTGCTGAGCGCGTTGTTGGCCGCCATGGTAGCGCTGCGAGTTCACAACCGACACCGAACTCGAAGTATGGAGGCTCTCGGGAGACGTCGGAGGACTCAATACCAGCGAGAGCTAGCCGAACGTCCCTCTCTATGGTAACTTCCGGGTGCCTGTGAGCTGATATTGCGCATGCGCAGCTCGCTCCTCCCTTTTTGCTCGGGTCCTGCTGCAAGATGGTGAGTGCCAGAGATTGCTCCGTGATGGAAATGTTGAATCCGCAGCCATCCTCTGCCATGGGCCCTGTCACACTGCCCCAGTGCCCTCTCCTCCATGCCGGGAGAGGGATCCTACCTGCAGGAGGGCATATTGTGATTATAGGGAGCTGCTTAGTGTTTGTTTATATGGAAATGTCTGAGCGGAGGAGGAAGGCCTGTGCTGTCCTACAGGAGATCCCATTACCAGGCCGGTATCTGGTCCTGCTCTCCCTGACCCGTGTTACATAGAAAGCATAGAAAGCCCTAAACTAAGTGCATGTCCTGATTAATAACACGGGGAGTTTGCAGAGCTCTCTTTGAATCCACTCTCTTTGGCTGAGTTATACTAGATTTTTTTTTTTATAGTGGCTAATGTTTGATATTAAAAAAGGCTTCATGTTCTACATGTTTGTTAAAGGTGTTCTGAAACAGCCACTTGTTTAAGTATATTGGTTTTGTTTTAATATTCAAGCTAGCAGGTTAAATAAAAACATTAATTTAAAATTGACCTCATTTTGAGTTTGTGAAAATTAAATCACAGGCAACCCGAGTCTAGCTTCTAATAAAGTACTCCATAAAGCCAAGATTAAATATAAATGATTCTTTGACTGGCAGATGGTATGGGGTAGAGTGGGAATATGATGAATAATAAGAGGTTTGACATTGACTTGCATTCTTAAAAAATATGCTTTTTCCTTTTGTATTTCTTTTCGCAAAGGCCAAGCGCACCAAGAAGGTCGGTATTGTAGGTAAATATGGGACCCGATATGGTGCTTCCCTAAGGAAGATGGTCAAGAAAATTGAAATCAGCCAGCATGCCAAGTATACATGTTCCTTCTGTGGAAAGGTAAACCAGTTTTCATGTCATTCAGTTGCTACCCTCTTATGTTCTTTCTGTATAATTGACTTACTCTCTTTCCATCTTAAAGGTGCAGTCATGCACACAGCCACTTCTCCTTTTTTGCTTTTTATTGCAGATATTTACACACATCTAGGGACCATGCACCCATTGCTATATCCCTGCTGTCCTAGTCTGAGCACTCTCCGCTCTAGTTACTAAGAGAATCTTTTTCTCTCAGCTCATCGTAGTATACATGTTACTTTATTTTGTTTCAACATATTTGGACAGTTGCATGAGGGTGCAATGCTCTTCCAAGGTAGAGTTAAAGTGGAGAAGGTGGTTTTTGCTCTATAACCTCTACAGTGCATTTTAGGTATTAAGGGTGCTTGAGGTATCTTTAATCTTCATATCCACAAATTAAATAACGCTTGTTTTGATGGACATGTCTTGGTTCCCTTTTTAGACCAAAATGAAGAGAAAGGCTGTTGGAATCTGGCACTGTGGATCTTGCATGAAAATTGTAGCTGGAGGAGCCTGGACCTACAAGTAAGAACCTCTCTATTACTCAATGTTATTGCATAAGTCCATTTTGAATCAAAAACTACTTTACAGATTCTATGCATCATAACAACCAAATGTCTGTTGCATAGGTAATGGTTCAAAGAGGTTCCTTGTCTTTATTTACAAGAATTGCTGCTGTTATGAGACTGCTCCTTCTCCTGTTTGTGTAGAAGAAGTTTAGAGTGCGCAAATTCCTTTCCTTCTACTCTATATCTCAGAGCCAAAGCCTAGGCCGCATCAGATCAGAGAAATGGAACTGCCACTGAGGGTCAGACTACATAAACTGTAAACCTCTACTGGAATGTTCTGACTTATTTGATTCTACTCTGAAAAGCTCTTCAACCCTGCCTTCAGATTTCTATGCTAGAAAATGTCTATCTTTTCAGTCTTCTAGTCTGTTTAACCTTTAACTCTATAAGATATAGGCATAGAGTGAAGGACCGATGACATGACATACACTTTGGTTCCTTTTTAGACAATGAAGTGCATCATCCCACAATGCTTGGTGTAGAGCCTTTACATTCTTAAAAGATGCATTGAACATGCCATCTTAGTCTCTTACATAGAAACATAGAATGTGACGGCAGATAAGAACCATTCGGCCCATCTAGTCTGCCCAATTTTCTAAATACTTTCATTAGTCCCTAGTCTTATCTTATAGTTAGGATAGTCTTATGCCTATCCCACGCATGCTTAAACTCCTCTGTGTTAACCTCTACCACTTCAGCTGGAAGGCTATTCCATGCATCCACTACCCTCTCAGTAAAGTAATACTTCCTGATATTATTTTTAAACCTTTGTCCCTCTAATTTAAGACTATGTCCTCTTGTTGTGGTAGTTTTTCTTCTTTTAAATATAGTCTCCTCCTTTACTGTGTTGATTCCCTTTATATATTTAAATGTTTCTATCATATCCCCCCTGTCTCGTCTTTCCTCCAAGCTATACATGTTAAGATCCTTTAACCTTTCCTGGTAAGTTTTATCCCGCAATCCATGAACCAGTTTAGTAGCCCTTCTCTGAACCCTCTCTAAGGTATCAATATCCTTCTGAAAATACAGTCTCCAGTACTGTGTACAATACTCCAAGTGAGGTCTCACCAGTGTTCTGTACAATGGCATGAGCACTTCCCTCTTTCTACTGGTAATAACTCTCCCTATATAACCAAGCATTCTGCTAGCATTTCTCTTGCTTCAGTAATAATATAGCAGGGCTTGACAAATCCCATGGTGACTAGGAAGTTTGTCCTGGTGCCTGGGTGTTTGTCGGCACGTTCAGATGAGAAAGCTGTAATCTTTTGATTTGTTCCTTCGCATGCCCACGGTGATGCCGGGATATGTTACTTCGGCCCTGGCATCACTAAACCACATGCAAAGGGGCAGAGTAAGAAGAGCTTAAAGATTACAGCATCACAGGGAAAGCATCCACTCCAGCTATCTGGTCTTAAAATATAAAACACAATTTGTGAGTTTGTGAGAAAACTCTCAGTGAGTGTCAAATGTGACTGGCCACGCTCCAATCATATGGGAAATGTATTTTTCCACTTTTTTTTTTCTTTTCACATTGTGTCTGGTCCTGCCTTCATGGCTGAGATCAGTCTTGATGATCTCAGCCAAGCCAATGCTTTTTCATAGGAAAGCATTGGAAGGCGGTTGAGCATGTTCGACAAAACTCAATACTACATCAATCAGCATCTCCTCATAGAGATGTATTGAATCAATGCATCTCTGTGGGGAACATTCAGCGCCTCAATGTAGCTGCTGTGCAGCACTGGAGTATTAACACAGAGTGACTGTTACTAGAGGTGTTACTAGGCAGCAATGTAAACTCTGCCTGTGGCGGTATACACTCTCGAGGATGGGTTACTACTGCCTATGGTTGCCCCTTCCTAGTTTTGCCCAGCCCTAGAGTGATTATAGTCACTTGCTGAAGAGCATTCGTGGTATCACCCAAACACTAGTCGAGACTTAGTGAAGGCTGAACAAGAACTGTTTATTGTAGGCAAGATACACTATATTTATACACAAAATGTATAAAGGGAGCCCAGGCCTGAGATTGTCTGCTTTGATGGGCTAACTTGGTTATAAGCCACTCTAAGAGCTAAGTGTTAGGGCAGAGTAGCCTCTGCAGTATAGCCTGCTGTAGTAAATGTTACTGGAGTGCCCTGTCATCCTTCCTGGGGTTAAGTAGAGAAACTAAAAACGGTTTGACAACTTGTCTGAACTCTGCAGTCAGCTGGGCAGCAGTCACTTCTGTTGCCTACCCTTACCGTGCTGTAGTATGGTGCAGGAGCTTACTTCTGACAATGAGGTTGTGATGGTGCTTTTCTGGTACCATAAAACCACTAAAGCAGAATGTGGTGGTTATGGTGCTTGGAATGATCCTTCAAACAGGTAAACTTACAGCTGTTTTAACCAAAGAAAAGAAAGTTACCTGCGCTCTCTCCTTAATCCCTATGTATATTTAGACAAATGGACCATTCAGCCTGCTTCCTTGAGCTTCTGGCAAAGATATCTCTGAGACAGAAAGGGGTATTTTTTATATACACCCCTATATACTTATTAACCTATAATAGGGAATACATGGGATGGGCTGCAGCATTGTAACAAGGCTGTGTGATACAAAGTAAATACAGAGAGCGCAGGTAACTTTTTCTTTTCTTTGGTTTTTACTATATATTGGGGCTGATGTGTACTGTAGTCATTGCTGCCGGCCCTGTAGTGATGGGAGTGAGCGCAGGACTTCTCTATTTGTATTTACTTTGTATCACACAGCCTTGTTACAATGCTGCCGTCCATCCCATGTGTTCCCTATTAAGGGTTACTAAGTATATAGGGGTGTATATAAAAAAAAATACCCCTTTCTGTCTCATTAGAGATATCTTTGCCAGAAGCTCAAGGAAGCAGGCTGAAGGGTCAGTGTTAGGACCCGCTTAGGGGGGGGGTCTGCCTTGACTTGGCAGGCGGGCATTCTCTCCAATGGCCATTGGAGCAACTGAATGACCTCCATTTGTCTAAATATACATAGGGATTAAGGAGAGCACAGGTAATTTTTTTTTTTTTTTTTTTTCCTTCTTTCTTTGGTTTTTACTATATATTGGAGGTGATGTGTACTGTAGTCATTGCTGCCGGCCCTGTAGTGATGGGAGTGAGCGCAGGACTTCTCGTTTTGTATTTACAGCTGTTTTATCCTAGAATTAGCAATTCATTTCTTCTCTACAATTCACATTTTAGTGAATGATTCTCCCAAGTTATATTCAGGTTTTCTTAGCCTGCAGTATGATTACCCCCTAATGCTCTGACATGGTGAGTGAGGTACTTTACCAGTTTAATTTCATTAAATGTTTTGCCATGCTTGCTGAGAAGCTGATGAATGGATACTTGGGTGTAAAAAAAAAATAAAAAAAATTCCTGGTTCTAATTGGTTAGAAATATTCTGAATAAGCTATAGGTCTCTAAATACTTTGTCTTCTACTTCACTGGTATAGTGTCTTGTCAGCACTACCAGTTCTGTGAAAAATCTGTCAGAAGTAGCTTTTCTGGCCCGGTTTTACATATTAATATTTCATTTCACCAGACAATCATTTGAACATGATCTATTACCTGCAGCTAATTGATCTGTTGCAGATATAAAGTAAAATGTCTGCAGTTTGTTATTGAATGTTATTTCATACTCTCTAAATAAAAATATATTCTCTCTCAGAATGCTTCTCTGTGAATCTATGGTATTCGGGAAGAACAAATTGGTGTCCTAAGTTATTGAAGTATTATATTTTTAATACAGTTTTGTAGTGCTTTGCAAGCACTGTTTGTAATATAGGTGCAGAGTTAAAATGATGCACCCTGACTCAGTTTCCTCTTTACATTAACCAGTCCTGTTTATTGCCCGTGACTGATCTCCTCTTTACTTCTGTTTACAGCACCACCTCTGCCGTCACAGTGAAATCTGCCATCAGAAGACTGAAGGAACTGAAAGATCAGTAAACGCAGCCTGCTTGTACAGAATATTCTTAATAAAGAATGTTTTTGTTAAATTAACAATTTGCCTTCTTGTGGAGTCTTTGGTTATGAAATCTAGATCCTAAAACATCAGTGAACACTCAAATTTAAAATGTGCTAATGTAACAAGCAGCACATTTGTTTTTGGTTTTGAGACTGTAGTAAGTTGGAATTCTTCTGAGTAATATGGAGTACAACCCTACAGTTTTTGGTTTTGTTCCTCTAAAATAACTTTTTCTAGACTTGAGGACAATAGAAAATCTTGGTTCGTCCAAATGCATTCGTATGACATTTTCACTTTTTTTAACAGACTTCCATTAGACTGCTCAGATTAAATTCACCCATTATTTTTGCATTAAAATTTAATTCTCTGTGGCTGCATCTTGCAGTTGTATTTAGGAAGCTCAATGTCTGTAAACACTTCTGATCTGTTTTAAGCAGCTGAGAGGTCAAAAATAAGTAAAGCCTTGGAGCGCTTTGATTGACTAAGTAGCCAACCAATCGGGTGCTTTATATTTGCATATAGCGGAGCTCAACATATCCCAGGTCGCCATGGCGAATAAGAAAGGGCTCCTGGGATTGGTCAGCTCTTTCTCTCCTCCTGTCTCAACCCTGTGCAAGCTGTCTGTCCGCCAGTGTGTCCGGAGGAAGGGGAGGGATCTGTAGTTACTTCTGGCGCTGCTCAGGGGAACCAGAATCTGGTAGTACACCTGGTAAAATTGGCTCTGTTTGCTACCTGACCCTATTTCGCAGAGCACAACTCCAGTCCACACACATTTTGCAGATCCAGCTGCCTTACCCTGCACGGCCTCCGCTCAAGGAGAAAGTATTTACAGTTCACTGCCTCCCGGCGAGCAGATACAGTGGGGGAAGGGTAGAGTCTGAACAGAGCGGCAGCCCAGTCCCATCAGCCGCAGCAACCCGTACTGCAACCACCTGCTGCCCAATCTCACTGACCAGGGAAGCCACCCTCCTGAACCCCTATAGTACGCCACTTGACAAGGCTTACAGGGTTATTCACTAAAATAAGAATTCAATGTGAATTTTATATTTAAGGCCAAAGCACCCAAATTGAAAGAAAACCTGTCTTTAGTTAATAGAACTTTTCTATTTTGACTTTAAATTTTGAAATTCACTTTTATTTCTCACTTTATTGAATAACCCTGTTAGTGCAGGGAAAGACTGCTTATTTATTGAACAAATAGCATATTTATATAGCCCAATGTGCAATTTACAGGTGTGACAATCAAGTGAAACTGTATGAATGCTGGGCATGTGCCAGGATTTCTTAGCTTTGAGCATCTGGCTATTGGGGATAGCAGCCAATTCCTATGTGTATAATGGATGAAAAAAAATGAAAACTTTCTTAATCTTGAAGGTACTTTCAAAGCTGGAAAGATACACTTGCAGAAGAGTATGCTGCCCATGATTTTAGTTAATGAACCATAACATGTAGGTTACATTTTTTAAACTATGAACTTGCATTAAATCAACCCTTCCAGTCCTACCAACCAAATTGGCATAAATACAAATATTAATTTTGAAAACTAAGCTTTTTCCTTCGCAATGCTAATCATTTTGATACACAGCTGTCTCTGTGGTCCTTAGTCCCTATGTGTGTCAATATAGGTCAACTCTTAAAAGTATAAATTTTCAGTGTGCATATGAGTCAAGCCATTTTATATGGTTACTCCTGCATTGACCAGTCTCACTTGCCCTCCACTTGTTGTCCCCCACTAGAGCTTTAGGGGAGTTTCCATCAATCCTCTGGCAGAAATATTTATCTAAAAATTGAATAAAACTTTATATAGGTATCTCATTTTAAAGCACCTATACGATATGTTCCTCCAAACTGATTTTGTTGAACTGTGCCCTTCCACAGTGTTCATTGTCTGACACTTGGCAGCTCATCCTCTGATCTTGTTCTTTAGAACTTTGTAGAATCTGTTCTAAAATCAAAAAAGTAGTTTCTCCATGAGATTCAAAGGTGCACCAAAACCACTACAGCCAAAAGTGGTGGTTTTGGGGCAGTGAGCCTGTCCCTGCAAGCTGAGCAGTGTAACTAAATAAAGCCAGTGTTTACATTGCTCCCCAAATGCACCACTAGTAACTGTCACTCTGACATCCACTAAATAAACTTCCTTTGTTGAATCCTTCAAACATTGCAAGACCAACATTCAGCATCTCTTGACTCTGCATGGAGATGCTATATGCTTCTCGAAGAGATGCACTTACTCAATGCATCTCTGAGTAGCTGCTGATTGCTGCACGTGCATACTAGCCTCCCAATGCTCTCCTATGGCAAAGCGTTTGAGATCAGAATTGATGATCTCAGCCGGTAGAGGTGGGACTGTTAAATGAAGACCACCACACCAGTGTGGTATTGGTTCATTCTGTAATGGAGTTACATTTGAGACCTGAGCGAGGATTTACCAAAAGGCAAGCTATTTATTTAGTTTCTCTAAGCTTTTGTCTGTTGTCAGAATTCTCATATTTTCTGTTTTTCTTGGGATATACAAATAGTTACTAGAACACTATAGCATTAAGAATACGTTTGTATTCTTGGCACTATAGATATCCTCTATACCCTTATTCTTGCCAGTTCTTTTTGAAGTATGTATTAAATCAATGGAATATATCTCTCTAAAAGCAGTATCAATTCAAGAATGTCAAATAATGGAAACCTGCTTCTCCCCTACATGGAGTATTTGTGAAACTTGAGGACCTGTGGCAAAGATGCCTCTGCCGTGAGCTCCTGGAGGAGCCTGTTCGCTAGCCTCCTGCCCAATGACTATTGGCCATGTAGACTAGGGATTGGAAGTGCTTATGGTAGCTCAGTGATCACTAGGTAGCGTGTTTGTTGATGGTACCCAGTCGGGGTACCAGGTGGACTGCCACAGGACCCATGTAGGTTCAAAATGTTGCCATGTCCACATTGGTAGAATACCTTTCTGCAAACTATACTGGCCTTTGGTATCTTCCCTTATTTGACATTGTGATCAAAACCAAGGGCTCTCTTGGGCACTGCACCTCGTGATTGTCACTTCAAGAGATTGGATAAGCTGCATTAATTTAAATAAAAACAAAACCTGTGGATTTTAGACAGTCTGAACACCATTTTAACCTGTTTCAAAGGCAGAAAAGGTTGCTTTGCATCAATGCTTAGATAAATGAAGATGCTAAAGGATATTGTGAAGAGCTTTATTTAGCTTATAATATCCCATTGATGAGTACTTCTGATCAAGGTATAGAAAAAAAATCTAATTTGTTCTCATCAGAAAATTGTTTTTACCTAGTGGAACTGGTAGTCCTCATTCCCTGCAGATGTTTTGGATTGAACTTTTCAATTTTGTCTCTGTGATTCTTTTTTTTTTATCCACTAGGGACAGATCAGTCTTCACATGTAAGTACTGGGGTGTGCATGTAGTTGATAGTATATATCAGGGGCTGTGAAGGGGGAACTGAAATGGAGGTAAACTTTTAAATTATGTGTCTCTAGTTCTTCAGTAATACCTATCTAGTAGTTGATGATGAGAACAACTGCCCGTTGGTGAGTACTGCTTAGTAGATATAAGAAACATATTTATATACTGTACTTCAAGCTTTCCCTTCCTGACTGCAAGGATGCAGCAATAAAGTTAGTCCTACAAATGTTTCTTTATTGTGTGGGAGGAGGGCATTCTATTTACTGTTACTCTGTTTGCAGAGATGCTCCATCATGGATATTTAGATAAGACTGAATGGGAAAACCCATATTTTATTCAACACAAATTCAACCATGCATCAACATTGCTGATCTGCTGCTTTTTTATTGTAGCTTACGGATTAGAAGATAGTGTATAAAAGACCAAACTATTACCAGCAATGAGCCATACAATGAGAAATGGTCCAGGAAATATATCATCCTTTAATCATAATACCAGGAATGTAATTAGACCTCCTGATACATAATATGTCATAAATTTTAAACTATGTATATTATAAATAGCAATACAGTACAAGAAAACACTACAAAGGTTCATGTGAGATAGCTAGGAGAATTATTTAGCTTTAATTAGTGCATTAATGGCGCTTTATACATTTGAAGAACTCCCCTTTATTAATTAACTGATTTTATTTTTGTTTCTCTTTTTTTTTTTTTTGAGTCTTGAATTTACTTGGAAGCTAAATCATTATCTTTAATAAGAGTATTAAGGAAACCTTTTCATGCAAACATGCTTTGGTGTTTCATTGATGTGCAAACCTCCTTATCATTTTTTTTTTTTTTTTAATCTATTTAATAATTTGATCAAGCAGATTCTTCATATATCCTCTTTTCATAAATCTGTCTTTAATTATCTCAGACCCTGGGTGTAGATATGTGAAAACAAATTATTTCTACTCAAGTTATATTCCCTGTTGGCACATTAATCATAACAACTGCCAATTATTTCTTCATATGTTTTAAATGGGATGCGTGGCATGCAACATTATTTTCTGTAGAAATATGTAGATCTAGAAATACTCTTTTCTAGATTATTCTGTTAGCAAAAAATGACATTATCAGTTATGGAAAATGGGTATTAGCTAATTAGTAGGCATGTGCATGGGAAAATTGTTCGGTTCGGTTAGGCATTCCCAAATTCGGCACTTCGGAATTTCTGAACTTCTTTTGCAGCCGCTTGGTAGATAACTCCCTAATTCCCACAGTATTAGGGAGTTATCTACCAAAAGGCTAAAAGACCTAAATTGGTCTTTCAGCCAAATTTACTAATACTCAGGGGTGGGGGCCAGGGGTGAGGACATTAGGTCCCCCCCTCATTCTAATTTAGGACCCCCACCCACCGCTCAGGGGTGGGAGCCAGGAGGGAGGACATTAGTGTCCCCCCCATTATTTTACTTTAGGGCCCCCATCCGCTGCTAAGGGGTGGGGGGAGGACAATATGTCCCCCCCTTATTCTAATTTAGGGCCCCCACCCATGAGTGGGGTCCGGTGGGGCAATCGGTCCCCCCCCCCTTATTTTACTTTAGGGCCCCCACAGGCTGCTCACTGTTTAATAGACATGCCCGTATAGCGAGTAGGGCCATAATTTACTAATACTAAGAAATAATCTTT